TTAATGACCGGCCTCAACCTCAGCCCATGTTGGTCCAAACGCTTGAATATTTTCCAAAGTATTATGTGACATTGTATTCTTTATGTTACACCTAAAAATGATTCATTTTGTTCATGGGGTAACCATAATGGAAAGTGCACTAGACCCTTTTGACATCATCGAATTACTCAGATGCGAGTAGGTAGTTAACAGTTTCGCCACCAGGTGGCTGATTCGGGGAATTAACATGGCAGTGTATTACAAAATTCCCTTAAACTTGAATATGCATCAGTTTTAGTGGTTCTCTTATCATATTACCCTTATGTATCTGATAGTTATACAGATTAAAATATGTCCAGTAAAAGAAAATGTTATCTGCCCAACACAAGAAAAAATATATCACTTTTTGTGGTTTTACAACATGGGGTCTATGGGGAATCTCCCCGACCTAGAAGTCACATTTTCAAAGCAAATTAAATTTTCAAAGTTGATAAACTCTTTTCAAAACCACATTCACACTACCCTACCTCGATAGCGCATGCGCAATTTTTTGGGCTTTCAACCAGGTCGCTTTTGAGCATAGCCGTAGGCAGCGGGGGTTCGAACGAACCCCCGGTCAGGATTTCCCAAAATATCATTTTGGTGAAATTAACCAGAAACATTAAATTACTGTGCTATTTGAAATATATGAGCAATAAATGAATTGATATTTATTATGGTGAACACGAGAGCCTTATTTTGTTAAAAACATGTCAAAACGTTTGGCAACCTTAGGCACGGGGTGAGATTCAATTTTGGGAAGACCCCAGAGCATGAGATTTTACATTTAGAAATAACAATAATTTCGCACAATTAACTTAAAAGCTGCTTCTTCTCAACAAAATAACCCATCTTGGGCAATGGCTAAATCAGTCCTTTGTAGGAATTTTGTTTTAAGCCAGTTCTGGTCCAATACGAAGATATGAAAAACTCGAAAACAATGCAGACGTCCCATACTCCGAATGATTTTTACAACATTGACGAATAAATATCTAGAAAAGTTGTAATATTGATGAGGGCTGCCATCGAACTCAAATGTCAGTGTCGACAGTCGAACTCTGCTGTCGAAAATATTGTCGACAATCGAACTTTCCAGGGAGAAAAAATCATCGGGAAGTAATTGCCTAATATTGTTACTAAATGCCAAGTTAATAGAATATTATAGACGAAAATGGGACAAATACCTGCAATGTTTCGACCGGGATTTATTTCGACTGCTCGGGCGAAATCTCGTACAACGTCTCGCAAGAGAGAAGAGAAGTCATGAAGGGAACTTCCGGGTGAATTTATTTTTTGAAAATGAAATGAATGTGAACAATATTTCCGCAGAATACGCGCACATAACACGTTGAAATGTGTATTGAAATGTATTGGGGCCATTTGGATATTTTCAAGTAAGTATTGATATCGTTTGCTGTCGACATGACGGGAATTTTTGTCGACTTCGTTGTCGAACTTGCATTTTGACTGACAAGTCGACGTTCCGACTAATGATGGCAGCCCTAAATTATGTTCTTTCAATTAAATGTGTACATCTCTGTTTTGTTTTATATCAATTAAAATTTAAAATATTTCTTGGGACGTCCCTGGGGCTGGCATAGTCCCCGAAACCAATTCGTTAAATAATTAAAAACGTTGTGAAATTAATTTTTTTAAAGCGTATATCATTTATAAACACAAGCATTTGTTCAAATTTATTCATTCTTTCAATTGTTCAGTATTTATTTACCCATCACTTTCCAAAAAAAATCAATCATTGCAAAAAATGATTTTGTTTTTTCAGATACACTCCACTCATCTAAGAGATTGTATAGAATTCAAATTGTTACCGTTCCAGTTTACTTGCTCTCCATTTTCATGTTAATGTCATGATATGTTTAGCGAATAAATTACATAATAAAAAAAATTGAAAATCATATGGTATTAATCTTCAAATAATGAAAGCTTTATTTGTTATCAAGTCGTCTGAACTTAACAAAATACTTTTTATATTCGAACAGTCGCTTGTATTTATATATGATTTATATTCACCAAACCGTTTTTATTATCAGTTGCAGTTAATCTGCTCCGGGGGACTTACAACTCCGGGAACGTCCAAAGCAATATTTTTAACTTTTTAAAACAAAGCATAACCGAGACCCACTTATTTGAATAATAGATATTTTCATCAGTAATACGACTATCCCGGATAGTTTAAAAAGCCTTCGTATAAACGTTGTGAAAAGTTATCATAGAAGAACGACCTTTCCGAGTACAGGGTGTTTGCGCCAATTTTAATAACCTCGCATTTGATCCGAACTGGCTTCCAACAAAATTCCTGAAAAATAATGACAAGCCATTGCATGAGGTGATTTATTTTGTCCTAGATGAAGTAGCTTATAAAGAATAAATTGTGCGAAATAGTTGATATTCCTTGGAAACAAATCATGCTCCAGGATCTTCTAGAAGTCAGACGAAATAATGCTGATTCGGGGCAAATCAGATTTCAGGATATGTATTCAGTAAAAGATTCACCGAAATATATTTTGATGCAGAAAATTAATTGTAATAAGTTGTCTGACTTTTTTGAACGTTGCCTAAAGTGAACATTTAAGTAAGAAAGCTACAAGGTCATTTTTGAAAATCGTTTTTACGTCCTGTGTTATTTCAATGGGAGAGGTTTCTTGATATAGCCTATTACTTTCAGACTTTGCTTAAAACGTAAATAAAGACATCATATTTGTTAAATAAAATTCAAATTCAATTGTCTACTTAATTTAATGAAGGTATTAATATGAATCATATTTCCCCTCCTTTTCTTTACAAATTATGCATATAAAATTGCTTTAATACATAATCCAATGGGTTAGTTAGGATTGCCAAACTTTTGGAGAGAGTGTAATTGTACAAATTGCATTATTTGAGGAACCCTAATAAGGGGGGGGATTTGTGAATAACATAAAAATAGAACCCCCGGTCACCAAATCCTGGCTACGCCACTGGGTAATTATTCAAGAACACATTCCAATAAAAATATAATTTGTGGGAGAATGTTCACTTTCTGTATTGTCATAATAACGATAACTTCGATTTTTTATTAAATTATCAACATGTATGCAGACAATCATGTTTTTATTTTTGAATTATTTCTTGAAATCATCCATAAAAAGGACAAAATAATATTTTCTTGGAATGTGTACATTCTCCAATTTTGAAAACCCAAAGGCAACGCTTATGTAGGAAATATGGGAAGTTACCTACCCTTCTAGTTGAAAGCCCATGCCGTAATCTAACACGAAATATACGAATACACAACATAATTAGATCATTAGAAAACGTGTAAGATTTGTTTTGAATTTACAAAAATGTATGTAACTTCCTTCAAAATTGAGCTAGAAGCTTCAAATAAAAAGCATTTTAAGGCTCTTTTCTTCCTCTATTATCTTGGTCATATTTCCATTGGTAATGAAGGCTACGCCAATGACATTGTAAGACGATTTGAAAAACAAGATAAATCAATCTTACTCTATTTTCAATAGTTCGTATGTTGGTACGTGAATTGTTTTGATATGATTTAAATCTGTAAATAGCTATCGTTGCTTTAGCAGAGAGGTGACGTGTGTTAATTTGCATGATGCAACGTGTAAGATTTTGATTATTAATCATAATTTAAGTTATCCCAATTTATGACAAAATGTCCACTGAATTGAAAATTGTTATGTCTTACAATGTCATAGGCGTAGCCAGGAGATGGTGCGATCGCACCCCCCCCCCCCCATAACCAATGAAAATATGGCCATAACGATAGAGGAAGAAAAGTGCCTTAAAATATGCTTTTTATTTGAAGCTTCTAGCTCAATTTTGAATCATGTTACATACATTTTTGCAAATTCAAAACAAATCTTACACGTTTTCTCATAATCTAATTATGTTATATATTCGTATTTTTCGTTTTTTGGGTACCCTTTTTTGACCGGGTACCGGGTACCAAGTTTGAACCCAGCATGGAGGATTTACAAACAAACAAACAAACATTTACTACCCGGTACCCGGTTTTTTATACAAACCCTTTCTAGATATCAGCGTACATTTATTGTAACTCGCGTTTGCTAACATTTGCTCAGTTCTGAGATGAAGGCCACACGGGTAGTAAAAAGGCCAACGTTGGAACTATTTGTGACCTACATCCCTATTTTCGTAATTAAAATGAAAGTTGAACCCTTCCCCTTTATTTTGATACCAAAGAACAGCATGCTAGGTACTTAAAATTAGGTAAACTCTACTCCTCAAAAGTGCAAAAACTTAGCTTCTTATAATCAAAATATAGGGGATTGCAACAATTTCGGAAATTCGCGGAGGTCAAAGCCACAATTTGAAGTCACGCCAGTTATTTTTGCGTGATAGAAAATGTCACGCAAATACGCATTTTACCTGGTAATTGTCAAGCAAAAAGATTTCTGTAGAAAAATTTCTAAAAAAGTTCGTCTACACAGCAAAAATACGAACGCCGAAAAAACGTACGCATTTCGTTCGGACTTTTCACGCGAATTACGTATATGTCACGCATTCCGTTCGAAATTTTTCGTACCTCCCCCCCCCACCCCCCCGTTGATGGATGTTTGAAACGCGAGCGTAGCGAGCGCGAAAAATTTGAGGTGTTCAAAATTTGGCAAGATGTAATAAATTTTAAACCGAGGTGTTCAAAATTTGGATCAAGGTGTTCAGATTTGGACCAAGGTGTCCACATTTTGAGGGGAGCTGTTCAACATTTCCAAGTCACTCATGTTAGGTGTTCCCAAGTTGACAGGCCTGTTACTGGTCCCAACTGTGTATGAGATAATAAGACAAAGAGGTCACCATATATAAAATCAATGGAGAGTAGGACCATAAATTGATAGGACCTCCTACCCTTTCAAACCGGGAATAAAGGTTAACGATTAAGTTCCCGGGAAAAAGAAGTTTTATTATTTCACTGAACGAAAATACTAGGTTCTTCCTGTGAAAATAAAAATGTCAGAATCTGGGAGAAAAATTTGGGTGCAGGTGAAAAGATACGATTTAGCAGGTAAGGCAGAGTAGATACAGTAGATAAATTATTGATTTATGTATAATTGATATCTCAGGTATACCTAGGATGATTAATTGATCGTTTGTGACCACCATGTACTTTGAATTTAGCACCACCATAGAAAAAAAATATAAAATAATTTTTCTGTTTCTTGAATTTTTGTCAATTTTTTAAGCTTAGCTTACTGCTCGATTTCTTGATGAAGTAGGATTTGGTTCATTAATTAAAGGCACACTGTAACATATAGCTGAAAAAATGGTTAAGGTACAGCTGGAAAGTAACATTTTGGTAAAAAATTGCTATACCTGCACATGTTATTTTCCGGTACAAAATAAAGTATGAAGGCATGTGTCAATTTACTTGCTTTTTTCAGGAAAGTATCATTACATTGTCTTCTTTTAGAATATCTGGTAGGGGTTCAATGGGAACTCCAGGAAATTATGATATTTCACACTTTCTATTTTTCCAAATTTTCTTTCAAAGTTTCCAGGCAACACAGGAGCTACCATTGACATGTTTCCAGATATTCTAAAAGTAAACAATGTAATGATGCTTTACTGAAAAAGGCAAGGAAATGCACACATGACTTCATACTTAATTTCGTACCAGAAAATAACATGTGCAGGTATAGCAATTTTTTACCAAAATGTTACTTTCCAGCTGAACCTTAAAAACATTTTCTCAGGCGGGGAATCGATTTCATGGTTTAAAATCTTCTCTGGTGTCTATCACGCGGTACGAATTTTGACTGTTAATTTGAATTTTTGACCTACCGGATGTTGAAAATCAAGGATTACGAGTCTCGTACTGCACCGTTTTTCTTGTAACTTGTTCCATTCAAAGCATAACAAAAATCCCTTTCTGTTGGTACATTATTCTCTTGAACAGAGTCTCTACTTCCAGTGGCATTTTGGTCCCCAGCTGTAAGAAGGCATTCTAACAACTGGGGACCAAAACGCTACTAGAACGAGGGACTATTTACCATCAAGTAATGCACCGACAAAAAGGCAATTTTGTTTTGCTTTTAATGGTATAAGTTTGAAGAAAAACGGTGCAGTATATGAGACTCGCAATCCTTGATTTTCGAGCATGTGGTAGGTCAAAAATTCAAATTAACGGTCAAAGTTAGGACCGCGTGTCTATGTCTAGGTTTCATGGTTCAAAATCTTCTCTGGTGATTCTATTTTCCAACTATTCATGCAGTTCCATTGTCTGTTGAACCTTGAAAAGCCATATTTAGACTGAGGATTGAAAGGTGTTCACGACAACTTTCAGCTCATCTTTATTAGGAAAGACCAGAAGTGAATTTTCGAGTTGAGTAAATGGTTATAATGTTGTATTTATGATGCCATGGCAAAATTTGAAATAATTAGAATATTCCACACGGACCCCTATGAATGTTTATTCATAAAACAAAAATATTCTGGACAATTTGTCCAAATGTTGCTATTAAATGTTTCATTTTGATGATTTTGATTATTTTTAAAATAGATGTCAAGAAGACTGACAGGTACGATATCAGGAAATGCTCTCGATTTCATTTTGATACATGGTTTCCAATTTAAGGTAGACTACCCCAAATGACCTTCAGTGACCTTGGTGTGCGAAAATAGAAATATTTTAAATTGAAGCAAAAAGCTTACATATGATATTGGTTAACACGCCAGAAATAAACATAATATCATTTGAAGCGACGTTATTAGAATATTTTGAATCCGCCATTTTTGTTTGTCGATTTGAACCAATCAGAGACATGCATCATCTTAATACAGGTTTATATTTGGGGTTAACCCCCCTCCCTGGTACAGTATAAATAAGCACAGATTGATTGACCTGCCTCCTTTATTTAAAAATCATTTCTGTTGTCTTTATTTTGAAACCTATATATGGAAAATTCACTATTTCATTATATTTCAGTACATGATGAAGACATGGAACCCCCTACATCTCTGAGTTACATTGAGACTAACAATGACATGGAGCCACAGTACATACACCAACTCCTGAGACAAAGGTTCAGAATCAGAGATGATTCATTGGTTCTCAAGGTAAGCCATAAAGTACATACCTGTAGCGTAGCTTGCCCATAGTTCTTGTGGTGCAAGTGAACCCCCCTTGGTCCAAAATTGTTACAAATCATGTAGTTTCACCATTCTGTCCATATTACTTGTACAAGGTTTATAATGCCATAAGCAATTTTTATGTAGGAGTTTATCAGACAAAACAGGTATCCTCCCCCTTCTAAATGATGATGATTTCATTTTCAGTTGAGGAACAACAGAGGATCACTGGTGCCTATCAACAGTTCATTGCTACCAACACAAAAATCAGTGTAAGTAAATAATATTGTGCACAGTGTACCTCAAATAATTATCTATCTAAGAAATATGAATATGAATGAAAATACTCGATATAAATAAAAATCTTGCAAGTCTAAAAGAATGGTTTGCATAGTGTTGAACAATATCTCTGATCAGAAAGTACAGGTTGCCTTGTGATACATAAAAATGTTCAGATTCCAGTTACGGGTAGAGTATCCTGAAACCAGTCTAGCAACAAGTCCTCGTGACCCCCGCCCCCCCCCCCCCCCCCTACATACACCCCCAATTTTGGTAGATAGGGAAAGAGGCGTGTTCAGAGTCTTGAATTAAGCAAGACTATCCTGAAATGAGAACCCAACAAAATAACTTTTAAACATTTTATATTCCCTAATGTTTTATATTTTCAGGCCATATATCTTAGAAGTTGTGAAAGTCTATCAAAACAGTGAGTATTCATTCATTGGACTAGCTCAAAATATCAATGTTGAATTTTACACGCAAGTAGTTTTTGTTGGGGAGGAATAAAAAGTCCACTTTGGGTGTTAATATGTTACATACTGCCATTTCAATAGCCATAAGATAGAACAAAAAGGGTGTGAAAGTTTGATGAAATATAACCTGATGGAACTAAATAACAAAAAAAGGAAAACTGTGTTAATTTTGTTATTATTTTTTGTAGACAAACCACAACCAAGAAATGTACAGAGAACAAACTACAATGAAACACTGAAGAAAAAGTTGGACAGTTTCGATGACAGGGTATGTAGTTGGGCCTTATCAGGCTTAATCGTATGCATTACCAACATAGACCAAAATTTGAGCACAATAAACTTATTTTTCCCCTTTTTTCACTGTTTCACTGTTTTCTTAACTGGCATGAGAGAACATGGATCACAGGCTGAGGCATTTTTCGTAAATTGATGCAATTTTGTAACACATGCCCAAAATGATTACTGTAACAGTAGTGGTTGGAAGACTGACTCGTGTACTCGAATTTTACTCGCATTTGTCCTAAAAATCAATTGATCGAGTTGAAAACTTGAACTCACGATTTTAATTTTTACCCAAAAAATATTTTTCACCAGTTTTCACCTTGCCTTGACTCGCGATTCGTCTCTCCTATTTGCAGTTTCCATGCTTATAGTTGTAATGTTCTGCTTAAATTTCTGTATAGAATACAACTTATTTTCTATTTAATGCCATGTGCGAAAGACAAACATACTTGGATTTTATTCTGCGTTCGTTATTTTTATGCAAAAGTTTCATTTCCGGTTTGATGCATAATCTGAGCCCAACAGCCGATTTAGACAATAAAAAGTATAGAGGCACTTGAAAAAATTGATCAAATTGATGAATTCTGCCGCTACTTGGGAAACTGAAACCGGAAGTAACTCAAATAAGTCAAATCGCGAAAATAATCGTGGGTTTTCATGGCCCACTCGAGTGGAGATTTTCAGACGAGTCCGACCACTATGTAACAGTAATCTGTTTGTAACTTGTTCAAATAACCCCCCCCCCCAACACACACATAAGCATACATCTCACAGGCCCTTACACAGGGGGTTCCCCCCCCCCCGGCCAAAAATTCTTTCAAAATCATGCAGTTTTTCACCATTCTGAGCACTTTTTAAGTGATTTTGGCCATATTTGGACCAAAATTGTCAAAAGCGAACCCCCCCTGGAATTTTTCAAAAAGTGAACCCCCCTTGGCAAATCCTGGCTATGGGCCTGTCTCATTATATCTTCTAAAAGACTAATATAAGTAACCTACTTTAATAAGGAAAATGTAATCTAGGGCCAACTTTAATTTCTTTTGCATTCCAGATTGAAAAGATGGAAGCAATTTGCCCCGAATTGAGAATTAGAAGAGATGCTAAACTGAAAAGGGTAAGAACACTTTACAATACATTCAGTGAACATCAAGTGCTAAACTGTATTACTAAGCTTAAGTTATATCACTGAAGCTGGAATTTATTATTTGTACATCAATTTAAAAGTAACAACTTTTAAAGTCCATGTAGTTTTTAAAATGGAAATAGAAGTTTACTGAGGCAGGCATTTTGAATGAATCAAAAATGGCTGTCAAACAACTCTGTTTTTCATTGTCAGTATAGAAGTATTCTGAAAATGCAATTGTGTATCGCCAAACTACGTATCTAGACCGATATGATTTAATATTTTTTCAGGAAATGGAAGAGCTGGATCGAAAGCTTGTTTTTCTCAACAAGCGGTTCCAACAGGCCGAGCCTGTCAACTGGGAGGGGATGTTTCGCAAGAACCCAATGTGGTAGACTACAGATATTACCATTTTTGGTAATATTTGGTTCAAATAGGAAATCTCAGCATTCCACGCATCTATGTGTTTTGTGACCATATATGGTCATGTGTACTGGTGTATAGATACTTGGTGGACATGATATAAAGCGTACAGTATTACCCTGGTGTCATCAACTGAAACAAGTACGTTGGCCTCTTACTAAGACAGATAGTTTCCAGTTTGGCATTCAACATATCAGCAAGCTCTATAGAACTAACCATGGATGAGTTTACTTATGTTAATACAGTGAAATCTGCATAATGGAACACCTCCATAAATGGAACACCTTTCACCCATTAAGTTTATGTAAAATAAACCTCAGTGAACACTGCAAGACCTCCCTAGAAGAACACTATTTTGAGTTTGAAAGTGGTAATTTAGACAGGTTTAACTGCATATGGAATACAGACATTTGTGGTTGACCCACAGACAGCTGTGATTGGCTTTGTCAGATCATGTGTTTATCAGTAATTTATAGAGTGACACAATGTGGATTAGTCTTGCAGTGGGTAGTACAGAATACAGGCCTTCTTCGTAGATAGATTCCAAGTAATGCAGTTGTTGAAATCAGAGTGCAACTCCTGTTTTCAAGAGTTGCTTCCATGGAATAAAAGATACGAGGGGTGATCCAAAAGTCTTGGACACCTCGCTCTAACTTTGCTATTTTCTCATATAATTACATGAAACTTTCAGATAATAAAGATCCACATCTTAATAACTTTGTGTATAAGTTTCACAAGAAAATAATATATTTTAGCTTCTTTTCTAAATATTTCTAAATACGGTATTTAAATGGAGCAAATCACGTCACAACTGTTAATATGGCAAATACCAGTGGAGGTGGAGGTGCACAGCCTAATACCAGTCATGATATGAGAGATTTTCCGATTTTCAATCTGATTGTCATCTGTAGCTGCTCAAGGTGAGAGTGAGAATATGTTTCTAGTATTCTTTGTTCCACTTTGATTTTTTTCATGTTCTGCTTTTCAGCAGCCATCTTGGGGCACAAATGATACCAGAATGAGGGTTGCTTGTCTGATGTCATTTTTTTGAATTTGACATATATGGCCATTGTCATATGTGACATTATAATTAAAACATAATTAATTGGTTGCCTAGTAACCAATACTTTTGGATCACCCCTCGTATATTCCATATTATGAAAGATACTTATTAGATACTGTCCATGTGACACTCATCTACTTTGCTTTAAACAAGTATTTCTACAGTAGAAAATAAGTCTATGTGATGACCACAAGGGGAAAAACACTCCTAAATATACATTTAGGATGGTGAACATGCTTATTCCATAGCATTACCTTGTATAAGAATTATAGGCAATGTAATAGACACTGGGTCAAAAGAAAAATGTCACTTTACGAGGGGATCCCAAAATTCAACCCTCTCAAGTTATGTCAAGTTGGAACAACTTTCTCAAACTTGGTGAAATCCCTTGAATTTTCTGGTTTATATTGTGAAATGTGTAAAACAGTGGTGTATTTATTAACTTCAACAACTTTGATATTAAGAGAAATCATTGTTTCCATTTGGGCATAAACAAATCATACTGCCAGTGCCATCTTTCTGTCAAATTGACCCGGAGAGCTTGTAAAAATAAATACAGATTTATTCATGAAGTATTATATTTGAAGTATTTACATTTATAAGGATGTAGCTAGAATTTGATTGTAAATTTTTGATCTCAAACTAATATTCTGACTTTATTTTACTCTACTGCATCTGTGCTTTCAATCCATCATTAACATATTGCCATGGTAATATATAGCGGTGTACGAACTTATGTGTCTTGAAATAGTGCAATATTTGTTTATTTATAGTTAAGTTTATATATGTATGTTTGTATGTAGTTTATTAATGTTATAAAGTAATCAATTGTACAAAACAAATGAAAAATAATTATTGTACTTGTATTATATTTTATGGGCTTGTGTAGAAAATATTTTCCACTGACTGACAACTGAAAGGTCTTCAAAAATAAAATAAAAGTCAGTCGATATAAGTATAAAATATTTCCTGTATTGTAATTCAAAGTGTAGAATAAAGATACATATGTAGTAAATGATAGTTTTTTGTCTTGGAAAATTTAAAGGTAATATAAGGGGTGACATCATTGCATCAATACATGACTCAGATTTTATATGATTTGACTTCCGGGCCAATGGCCTCTAAGCAGCAGTCCATGGGAATTAATAGACCATATGTAAATTGCTTTAATTTGGGGCTTGTAAATTTGGCGACTTAATTTGGCGATCGACCTTCATCAATCGTATTACTCACTTCACATCTTCCCACCAAAGATAATGAAATTTTATCTCTTCTGGCGTCAGATTGTTTTATCTAAACCAGTGGGGACTCTTTAGATCTTCATAAATAGTTTAAAATTGACATTTTATCCATTGAAAAGAACTTGACAAAAATCTCGAGAATTTCATTTTAAAAAATTGATGGAGGCTTAATTTGGCAGTTTTTATCTGCCAAATTAAAACTGCCGTCAAATCAAAGCAATTTACAGTAGTATGCCCTATGGAAAGATCACTTTGAAGGAAAGTTCACAAAATATTAACTCATTTCTGGTTTGACTCATTAACTTAAACTTTCAAGGTTAAACCATGAGAGGATTGTCAATAGATGGCATCCACCCCCAATTTTTAAATCAACTTGAAGTGTCTGTGTAAAATATCTGAGAGTAATGTGTCACTTTCAGAATACTCCACCTACTAGATCCACATATTCCTCTATACATCATTTGTTCATCAATGTCTCTAAAACCAAAATATTACAAGAGGATGATAACTATGAGAGCATACCTGTATGCTAAATTAGAAACCAGAAGATCTTTTCATTCTCATCTCAGGCGCAACACAATTTAAACAGAAACAGTTTGGCTAACAGGAAATTATGAAATACTATGATCAATAAAGTCACTGGTCTGATAGTGTTTCATCAAGCCCCTGGAACCTTCGTCCCCCACACACACACACATTATCTCTTAAGGGGGAGATGTGTGGAGCAGATACGTAAGGGTCACAATGGCTTGGTGCATTAGTGTTACTCAGAACACTATTTGTCTTCAATTTGACAAGCGTTTTTGCAACAGTTTTCTAGCAACTGATCTCCAAACCTATTACTTTAAACATGAACATAAACTATCAATTAAAAATACTTCTCAGTAGTCATATTTATTTGGAAATAAAATCCATATTTCTATAAATCAGAATTTCTTAAAAATGTTCGTTTCATTATCAAAAATTCACATTTCTGCACATTAAATCAATAAGTACATAAATGTACTATGGTCAAACAGACCTTAGTGAATGTCTTGCCTGTAACTCAGCTGGTACATCTACAAGTGTGAGGTAAGAATAAATTTTCATTTATTTAATTGATATTTCTGTGTGTGTCAAGTATGATTGGAATTGCAATGCATTGGAATTCACCTGGAAGACATGCAGGCTCGTAGTCAGAGGGGTTTGAGTACCCCCTCCCCCAGTCAAAAATTCCTTCAAAATCAAGCAGTTTTGCACCATCCTGAGACATTTTCAAGCGATTCTGGCTATTTTGAGGCCAAAGTTGTTAAAAACGAAACCCCTATGGAATCGTAAAAAGTGGACACTCTTGGCAAATTCTGGCTACGGGCCTGACATATCGATCCATTGATCTGATGTGCTTTGCTGTGATGAAAACATCATCATTTATGTTTTACTGTTTTTTGAAATTATATTATTTTAGACTAAATCTTAAATCATTGTTATTGTGCCCTTTATCATGGGTTAGCTCAATACAGTTTTCATCATTCAATATTCCACTTAAAGGTAGGTCACATGATCAGGACCAATCAATGCCACCTGGAACATGTCATTCACTGCTGTACTTGGTCTGCTTGTGGTAACCTGGAATTCTAGGATTGTTCCTTCTGTGTCAGGTAGCATTACTAGCATTGTTAATTGGAAATTCTAATTTCTCAAACTGTTCATGTGTGAGTTTTAAATGTTCTCCAATTAGATTGGTGTCTGTCAGAAGGTGGCCTTCAACCTGGAAATACATACCGCATAGAGTTATTTACTGAGAGGGATTGAATATAATGGGTTTTATATCATGCAGCAATATGTTATTTACCGAGGCAAATATACTGACACGTATAAAACATTCAACTCCCAACCTAGAAATAAGCGTTTCATACCATGATACTGAATGATTGAGTGATGATTTAAATATCGCAATACACATGATCTACATGAAAATAAAAACGTAGTTTATGAAACTTTTATAAAATAATACAGAAACAACAAGGTGAATATTATTCAAACATTCACAAGGAATCAATTGTAACATGGTATTAAGCATGTAACTTCATTCTTTGGAAATGAAAAAAATGAGAAAAGGAGGACAAATCACATTGAATTGAATTTTGTTTGGCATTGGGTAAAATGGTAAAGTGATTGACTACACAACAAAATTATTGACTGGTATTTCAGTTATTGCTTGCCTATGGATGGATTATTTGGCATTAAATTGAGAATTTTTCATTAAGCTTCTTTTGTAGATTTTGTATTTTACTTCCTATTAAAGTTGCCAATATTTTGTAAACCTGTTGCATACATTATATCAACTAAATGTACATCCAAGGCTTGAGGAATTTGTATGAAAACCTCCAAATATGAGAAATCAATATGGCATATGCTTACCTTTAAATCTGACATTTTACTTTCTTTACTTGTATATTCTCTAAGCATATAATTGGACCCAGCCTGAAATAAAGAAAATGAAACATCAGGGTCTGGCATCTTTTGTTCAACAAATACATCTCTTAAAATACTTTTCTTGAACTTGAAATGAGAACTCACAACTCATAAATACTACATGTTGCAATCATTATCATTGATCAAAATTCAAAAGTAGTGAGCAAGCAAAATCAAATAGGAGTCAGGTTTAATCTGAAGCAAAAGAGGATATTAAATACTTCTTAATGATTTTCAAATTTTTGGTCAAAATTAACCTATAATCATATATTTTCAAACTATTAGGACCCCTTCTTCTACAAAATCTTGTCATATTTACCTGATGATAAACTCTTGTGTCATTGGTTCGAATAAGGACCCCATCTACTCTCATATAAAATCTCATCAGAATAAAAAAACTTGAAGGCATTACTCTCTGAAAACAAAATGTTAACAAAGTTAACATGTTACTACTCTTTATATAAGGGTCAATGTCAAACTGAAGACAATTAAAACAAGGCATTAACATGCAAAATGTCACCACCTGTCATTTGTTACAGACACTGACTGCCAAATGCCTACTGCCACCTGCCGAAAGCCGAACACCATCCACAAAAAATTTGGAGACTATAACAATCTAACAAAATGTCACCCATGTGGCTCAGTGGTGGCGCAGGTACCTCTTACACAATAGGTCCCGGATTCGATCCCCGGTTCAGGCAAGACTAAATTTGCTTGTTTGCGTGAAGTACTTCAGGGTGTTTGACTGAGTGGTCCGCAACTCGTACAAAAGGCTGTGGTGTGTACTTGTATGTCTATGTATGAGTTTACATAAAAGAACACAGGGCTCCTTCAAGGAGGGGTTTCTGGGTCTATCTTCCAGGATAATTACGTAAATTACGACCGTATATATACGGGCAATACCCAATAGGTATTGCTCACCTTCATTGGTGGTAAACAAAAATACAATACAATACAACAATACCACTCGTGGTGGTGACATAAAGTGACAGTCCTTAAAGTGACATATTTTAGCACTGATATCAAACCATCAATTCCTTTATACCAAATGGTTTACTATATAAATTATATCTGGCTAATGCCCCCCATCCCCTCCTAAAATAAAGTTAGCATTGATTTCCCGAGTGACCTGGTCTGCCATTAAAAAATCATTATTACTGACATATGACATAAACAAAATATGTTGATAGCATATTACTCCCCCATCCCAGTCCCACAGAAAAATTAATTAATTTGCAGTGATATCTATTGTAATGTTTTAATGAGGTTTAGATACTTACAATTTTTACATTGAGTAGAGAGCAGCCATTATCCGCTAGTTCATCTTCATACAATACAAGATCACTAAAAAAATGGATTTTTTCTCGAACCTTGAGTTTTTCCATATCTATTCTTTCTGTTGTTTCAGTAATCTGGAAAAATGTTGCTTAAATTATTTGACATTTCAGAATTCATTAGTTTTGTTTTACACATTGCTTGGAATTTTTAAAATCATGAATGTTTATCTTGAAATTCATAATTATTGAATATATGTTACTTACAGGGTTACAAAAAAATTTCAAATCAAAATTGAGTGACTTTTCCCTGATCAATGTATGAAATTCCCTGATAAAGCATAATTTTAAAATGAATGTAAAAGAGGTTATTTCCCATTTTCAACAAGATATAACATTTATTTAAAATTCCCTCAATATTTTCTAACATGATTCGTCTTAGAGGTTCCCAAACCATTATACTAATTTTTGAAACAATTCCAAAATTCCTTGACTGAAGAAATACATTTTTGGTATGTACATCCTCCGATCACAGGGCTTCAAAATCCAGAATACATTCTTTCTTTTTACCCCCTGCGATAAGCAGTTAGCATTTCCCTGATTAAGAACTCACATTCTGATTGGCTGTCGCAACAGTGCGACAGAAATCATGTATAAGTCATTGCGCATAATTAGATCACATGATTCAGTTTAATCGTCCACTTCCAAATTGGTTATAGCAGGGGGAAAAAGGAGGTATGGATTCTGGATACCTGCTTAGGAGGATGGGTATGTACAGTGTACCTTTATATCTCCTAATGTTGTCCCTTTATAGTTAGTTGAAAATGTCCAGTCAAATGGGTTGATGACTTCTTTAATGTCAGACTCTGCCCTGGAAGATATATAGCAAAAATATAGTCTTGCATCAAGCAATTGCATGCCCCCTGCCCCTCTTATATGCACATGTACACATATATATGCAACATTGGGATTGTGTAGAAATCACACAGGGCAAACCAGAGGCTTGGTGTAAGAATGACACACAGAGCATGGCATGTCATGTGAGGTAAAATCAAAAATTAATTCAATATTTTAATGAAAATTGTATGGAATTTCTAAAGTAGTCACTGTAGTCAATAGTTTATCAGATGGAATGGAAATTTTGCTTCTACTTTGGGGCAAATGTGTAAGAATGAAGAGCAGCCTTAATCTATTATTAGACAAGATATTAACATGCCCTGTTCACTGACTTATGCAGAAGACCAAACACTTAATGCAAACTGCTGAACACCAACTGCCGCAGAAAGTTGCAGACTACAACAATAGGTCACCACTTAAGGTGGTGATAGGTCACCACTTGCTGTGGTGACTTAAAAAATGTGGAGAGGCACAATTGCACATGAGTGACGAGTGTAACATAAATGTGAGGAAAACTTCAATGGTCACAAGATTATAATTACTGCTCCAGGGGTCAGGGGGGGGGGCTAAACCCTATCAATCATGCGATAATGTTGCTCATCGGGCTATGAGGGCTTATTGGGCTGGCTATTTTGTACAAAGGTGAAACTTAAATAAAATAAATAAATAAAAATAATACCTTGCTTCCTGCCACTCGGCAGCTACAGCCACTTTCATGAGGTCATTCTTTGCATCAACCAATCGCAGTGCATCTAGAGCATTAAATTCAATACCAAATTTCCCCTCATGTTGAACACGGATAACATTGTCAGCAAAAATCATCTCAGGAAATTGTGGTAATGGAGCAAGATCAGATTCAAATCTAGAAGAATAGATGTACTGTATATCATTTGTATCAAAATGTACATAAATTTATGTACATTGTAGTACTGGGCCAAATTCATGATAATATTGGCATATATTTAGTTTAGACTTCTGCTTTCTAGTATTTTTATAATAGCCACTGAATCAACATGATCAACATATACTCTTCATACTAATCCAAATTACAATATTTTAAGTACTGGTAAGTGTTTGTGTCATACTTTTCTCTCTTTTCCCCCTCTGATTTCAGTATGTGACTTTTCTGTGACGTTACTGTCCAAGGGCCGAACTGGAACACCTCAGGCTTTGGCTGTGGCCTGGCTATTGGATCCATCTTGATAAAACGCTGCAATAGAATTATTTGTTTGATTCTTTAATTCAACAGATTTTATTCTATATTGTCCAAACTTTAGATATTTGAATCCCTCATATGCTTTTATATTGTAACATTATATATGGGGACATGAAATGCCACAGGGCAGTTTGCCCCAACCCTGTCTATTCATTATATGTTTGTATCTATGAAATAAACATATTGACACTGCAAATATAGTCAGCATGGATAATTTCTGATATAAGGTCCAGTTATTTCTGTTGTAGAAAAGAAAATACATGTAGTGTACAATAAAACCTGTATATAGTGAACACATATGGAGTCACAAAAAGTGTACTGTAGGAAGATGTTCACTACAAACAGGGGATTTTATACAGGAGTCAATGTAAAATTTGTTTTGAAATGGTGTTCACTAGACTAAACACAGGTGTTCACTAGAGATAGGTGTTCACTAACTGCTAAGATATGTTTAACTGTAGCTTTAAAATTTTGTCGGAGTTCCACAGTGTAACCTAGCAGGATGGATGACATAGAACAAACTGCTAAGTAGACACATGGTAAAAGTGAGGATTTCCCATGTTAAAAATAAGAGAATTTTCAAGAGGCACTACATTGGATGAGATTTTACAAAATGTAAATTATACAAATTTTAAGGGATATGTATCTAGACAATATTAGAAATTATGGGCTTTCAGACGACAATGATTAGGAAATGGTGATAGAAAATCGACCTGTCATTTATTTTTGTTCCCAACTCAACTGTAAAAAAATATATTTTTGAATTGGATCCAGAGCTGTCAAGTGTCCCGCGAATGGCGGGATTATCCCGCGAATTTGATCAAAATTAGGCTAATTCGCGTGTCCCGCAATGTCCCGCGAATTCCCGCAAATGACGGCTTTGACCTCCGCGAATTTCCGAAATTGTTGCAATCCCCTATATTGTGATTATCTTATCTTATATAAGAAGCTAAGTTTTTGCACTTTTGAGGAGTAAAGTTTACCTAATTTTAAGTACCTAACATGCTGTTTGGTATCAAAATAAAGAGGAAGGGTTCATCTTTCATTTTGATTACGAAAATAGGGATGTACAATGTACATGTAGGTCACAAATAGTTACAACGTTGGCCTTTTTACTACCCGTGTGGCCTTCATCTCAGAAGTGAGCAAATGTTAGCAAACGCGAGTTACAATAAATGGACGCTGATATCTAGAAAGGGTTTGTAGAAAAATCAGGGTACCGGGTAGTAAATCCTCCATGCTGGGTTTAAACTTGGTACCCGGTCCCCTGGCTACACCTATGACATTGTAAGACATAACAATTTACAATTCAGTGGACATTTTTTGAAAATTGGGATAACTTAAATTATGATTGATAATCAAAATCTTACAAGTTGCATCATGTAAATTAACACACGTCACCTCTCTGCTAAAGCAACGATAGCTATTTACAGATTTAAATCATAATCAAAACAATTCACGTTCCAACATACGAACTATTGAAAATAGAGTAAGATTGATTTGTCTTGTTTTTCAAATCGTCTTACAATGTCATTGGCGTACTAGCCAGGAGGGGGTGCGATCGCATCCCCCCCCCCCCCCCTTCATTACCAATGGAAATGTGACCATGATGATAGAGGAAGAAAGAGCCTTAAAATGCTTTTATTTGAAGCTTCTAGCTCAATTTTGAAGGAAGTTACATACATTTTTGTAAATTCAAAACAAATCTTACACGTTTTCTAATGATCTAATTATGTTGTATATTCGTATATTTCGTTTTTTGATACCCGGTTTTTGGACCGGGTACCAAGTTTGAACCCAGCATGGAGGATTTACTACCCGGTACCCTTTTTTCTAAAAACCCTATCTAGAAAAGTAACCTCATTCCCTATAATTTGATGTAGATTAATCGAACCCCTATATCATGGGCTTTCAAACAGTATATGAATAGGTACATTTTAATATACGAGGGGTGATCAATAAGTAATGGACGCTTTTTTACACAGATACTTTTTATAGACCAATCCCTTTGATTTTCCTACCAGTGATACATCATTCAATTATCTATCAATTCTGAAGATTTGAAGACAAAATATATAATACATATTGATATATCCTTATTTCCGTGAAGGAGGTACAGGTACCCCGGGACCGACATTTACGTCACATATTCAGTTTTTAGCCAGTTTGGTAAATTTCAGTTAGATTTGAACTTTTTGTATATGCAACAAGTGTTGTGTTATTTGAATTTTTTTGCTGACTGGTAACACATAAACAGAAAGTATTGTGATGTCAGAGTTTTGTATGGAAGGGATTTGGAGGTCAATTTTAGAAAGCATTATGGAAGAAAGGGTTGGTGAGAGAAGGGAACACCCTACTCCATATGGACAATGCACCTGCCCACAGAGCTCAAAATGAATTCAGAAAACAATATCCCTGGACCTCAAAATTGAGCCCTTTGCCAATGCACCATATTGTCCAGATCTGCTCATATGTGACTTGTTTATTTCTATACTACTTATTTCTATAGAGAAAGGACGCAGGTCTATTGACATTGATGAAATAAAACAACCCGTGCAACTGCATCTTGCTACCATGTCAGAGAATGGATTCAGCTTTCTCTCACAATCTTGAGTTAAGAGGATGAGGAATTGTGTACATGTAGCACTTGATGGAACCTATTTAGAGGGCCCTGTGGAATGAATGTGGCATGAATACCACGTAGTGATGATAAAATATTCAAAATCAACTATGGCAAAACAAAATGGGGTAATTCATGACCATAATGGTTTGTTTTGTTCAGCCTGCATTCAACTGCATTGTATGTTAAACAAGCTTAAATAGCTTCAGAATATGTGACGTAAATGTCGGTCCCGGGGTACCTGTACCTCCTTCACGGATATAAGAATATATCAACATGTATTATATATTTTGTCTTCAAATCTTCAGAGTTGATAGATAATTGAATGATGTATCACTGGTAAGAAAATCGAAGGGATTGGTCCATAAAAAGCATCTGTGTAAAAAAGCGTCCATTACTTATTGATCACCCCTCGTATAACATTATTTTATGGGGGTAAGCGTTTCATTACGGTACTCACACCTGAAGCGTGGTTTTTGTTTTTGATAAATTACAATAAAGTTTAATTAAATTCCTATGCGTATTTTGTGAAATTGTGTTGACGTTTATTTAAGTTACAATGTAACTGTGCATTATATTTGATTAATCAGTATATGAAAGTTTGATTTAAGTACTTTTACACGCTTTTACATTAGTCCCAATCACGCAAATACCTTGAATGTCCCGAGACATCCTGCAAATTTAGGTGGACTGTCCCGCGAAATCCCGCAAATTTAGGGCACTTTGTCTAAAAAATCTGTCCCTCTATGAAGTTTTTGGTGGTCACCTGTTAACTGTCCCGCAATTAGGGTGTTTGTCCCTCGAATGATCCCGCGAAATCCCACGAATTTGATAAAAAAAAATTGGCTTATTAGTGCAATCACGCAAATCCCTTAAATGTCCCGCGAAATCCCGCGAATTTAGTAGATGTCCCGCAAATCCCGCGAATTTTGGGCACTGGGTCTAAAAAATCTGTCCCGCGAGAAAATCTTTGGGGGTTGACAGTAGACTACTGTGGATCATTCAATTGAAGGGTTGACAAATATCAAATGTTTACATCTGGGTATTACCTTGTCAACTGCTCTCCTTATGATTTATGGCATTAGGTGAATATTGAATTATAAGATTTATAAATGAAAAAATTCAAGTTTACTTTTGTTTTTTCAATTTTTCAATTTTGCAAATTTGCAAATCTCGCCGGATATCTCGCCTTAAATTAGTCCACGAGATTTAAACGAGAGCCTCCAAATATTTGAAAAAGTTTTATATTTCCATGTTTTGTTGAATTATAATGTTTTAAGATGATAAAGGAACAATGTCGTACAATATTTAGTAACATATAATGTCCACAGAGAATTCCAACCTAGCAAGAGGTAAGACTAGGCAAATAGATGTATTTATTTATTTTTTTTTTTCAAAAAAATATTTCAAAACAATCAAACAAAAATGAAAAATGAGATCAATCAAAACATAGATTCCGGCCAGATTATTTTGTAGTAGAATCAGTAGCTCAATAAATATTCCTCAAGATGAGACACCTCAGAAAATTTCAAATTTTAAAATGACGATTCTGGAGCCATTTCTGAAAAATATGAGACAAATCATACCTCATTCGAAGGGTCTTGACATTCTTTACCTTTTTTATCACCAATGACCGTTATTCAAGCAATATTGCGTTGATTAGAGGCCAAAACAGTGATATTTTATCGCCGGACTCTTGTCTGTCCAAATCTGAATGGTGCTCCCGTGGTTCCAGAAATGTGACGTCATCAGTATAATGATATTTGGACACACAAGAGTCCGGATTTCGTGAAAAATATTCGCCGTATTAAAAGTCAAATAACTGCATCAAATGGTTATTTGCTCGAACCAAACAAGTAGAAATAGAAAGATGAAGATCTCAGCTATAAAATAAGTGCAAAATCTGTCACGAGGAAGCAGGTACCATTTTGGATAAGGAACATTTTTAAAAGGTGGTCATATTTTTTTGAAATTTTCCAATTTAGTGTCGTATCTTCTGTATTATTCTTTGAGCCTATGAGATCCTACAACAAAACGATCTGGCCAATATCTGTGAATCAAAATGAAATTTTCAGTGAGAAACTAGAGAGCCGAGAAATGGCCGAGAAAAAGCGAACGCATTCCATTCGGTCTTTGCACACGATTGTCATTTATGTCTATGACTAAAAGTCAGTCTGTTATGATGTACTACTGTCCTGTGGAAATTGCAGTGAAATTTTTTGCACAAAATTATCAATTACAGGCACCATTTCTTCAATAAAATAAACATTACAAAAATTCAGTTAAGTAGTAAGGTACAATTAAATGCAATTAGAAGTAACAAAGCATATTGTCAAGTGGAAATAAAGCTAGTTGAAGTAACAAATATGCAAATTAGTTCACTCCATCGGCCATTTTGAATAGCACTTCCTATGTAAACAAATATTTTGAATTACCAAATCTTAACATAGGTTGCTTATAGTCTGAATATATTCAGACTAAATAGGATTCAGTCTACCCCCCCCCCCCCCTGCATTTGCGAGCGGGAAAAATTTTAGGTGTGCAAAATTGACCAGTGTTCAGTAAGTTCAACATTTGGAAGTCACTCATGTTAGATGATCCCAAGTTGACAGGCCTGAGAGTTGTAGTAGAGATCAAACGAGTTGGGTGATACTTTTGGGCCATCAACTCGATTCTGGAATGTCCTCAAAATTTCTGAAATTCTTCTAACTGACAATTGTGATTGGTCAATGAAATGATGGCCATAAGAACTTGATTTGATAATTGAGATGACATGCACAAAAATTGAGTTGGGCTTGGAACAAAAAGAAAAATATGACGACAATGAGATGTTGGGCCCCAGAATATGAAATGACATGGAAAAATACTAAGGCAGGGTTCTCACTAGGCTTTTAGACTCCGGAGACTATGAAATGGGGTAGCTTCGGTATTTTTAGGGAAAGCTGTCAATTGACGGCAGAATATTGACCAAAGAAGCAGCAAAATATATGCTTTTGCTGTAAGTTTGATTGATGCACAGAAATGGTGATTTTGACTGTTATTACATTTTGATACTCCAAATAACGCAGTGTGACTTGATCATCAGTTTTCACTTGATACAAATTTTGAACTTGATGATAGAATATAGGCAGAGTATACAAAGTCAATGGTCACAAAAGTAGTTTGGGAAGAAAACATACTAATTTTATAAAGAAAAAATATACATCTTTATCACAGTATTAATTTTTTGGCACTTATATTTATGAAGCCAGAACCCCTTGAAATGATGGAGTGAAAGTAACTGTATACCTCCATCTTGCAGTTTTCGTCAAATAGTACAGAATCATATCAGTCATTTTCAAAATTTTGAAATGTTTTTACTTTAACTAATCCACCCAATAAACCAATCAGAATTTTTCTTACTCCACCCAATCCATCAAATGAACCAATCAGAATCTTTCTTACTCAAACTTATGAACCAATCATATTGTTTCTTACTCTACCAAATCTACCCAATGTACCAATCAGATTGCAGATTGTTGACACATGTGCAATGGACTGTAAAAAATGTAGTGAACATTCTTATATCGCTTTCAGATGGAGGGCTATTTGCAGTACCTGTAGGGAAGCCCCCAAAAGCAAGACATGTAAAGAGAGGATCGCTTCCTGATATCGCTAGGGTCAAACTATCAAGGTTTAATCTTACTTTATTGTTATTCAATTTGGTAAATACAAGAAAAATTAGAAATTCCCAGTTTTTACTATTATAGTGACTATCTGGACTTTTGAACACTACTGAGTATATAATTGACTATTTGTGATTTGCAGGTGATTTTTACATTTTTAAATTTTTTTAAAGTTGACTGAGTAGATTCAGGCACCAAAATTCCCTGAAATTCTAAAAAAAAGAAAAACAAATTGATAGGGATATAATAATAGGTACTGCTAAGATTAATATGTAATTGCCTTATAATGTTTGCAGACATGCTAGTCAGAACAGAGTTGGGCTGGGTCAGAACTCGGCTTCTCAGAGCAGACTGGACACTTTTACCAGTAACACCTCAAGCAGAACAAACCTTAATGTCAAGTAAGTGCAAGCCATGAACTGTAGATTTTTACAAGATGTTTTTAGTTGATGTTGGTTGGGGGTTGATTGTTCATATCCTGTAACATAATAACGCCAAACACATGGCATATGAGCATATACACTAATGCACTATGAGTATTTCTATCACTCCTTCGAGTTCTCTGCAAGTTGAAATGATAAATTCTGCAAGAGAACCTAATGAATTCTCTTAAAGAAAACATCAAATTTGCAGGACTTTTAAGGGATATTCCTGCAATTTTACATGACATATATTGTGAGTTATTTGTAAATCATAAAAGTATTCCACATTCAGAAGTGTCGACATATTGTTATAGTCCTCAACTTTGTTATATAACAGTGTTTGGTGGTCTGCGTTTGATATCTGTAACAAATGGAAGGTGGTGACATTTTGCATGTTTAAATGCCTTGTTTTTCATTCTCTAGGACCCTCAGTGCCAGTAACCTAGCTGCCCTCTCAGATACAAACTTGTCAATTAAACAAGCTCTGCCAGCGAGAAGTTATGATGCACCAAATACAGATGAAAACTTCACAAAGGTACAAATACATATTAAAAAGTTGTGTTTTATTTTTGTTTATTTTGCAAATGGCCAAAATGCTTCAGATTCTCCTCAGTTATTTGCATTTGGACACATATATCAAAAAATAATAACTAAAAAGTAATTACTGACTAATTTGTGTTTGGCAACGGGTCTTTACTGTGCCTATATGATAGGATGTGTGACCTATTTTACCTATGTGCAAGATCTTCCTTTTCAATCTTCCATGGAGGGATTTGTTGATGTTATATCAGTTTGTCAGTGGACCTGTTGCATATTATCAATGTACCTTCATTCCATTCATTCATTGAACACTCAAGATCCTATGCTAGTATGCTTCATGACTCAGATTGGACTATGGATATGAATAGCATGGCAAAAGGAAACTATGCGTAGTACATGCTTGAATAAAGGTGTGAAGTCAGTAACAGCAGAGTTAGCACCTTTTGCTGTATATAAATTGTTGTCCTAATGTAAGGTTCTGAATTTTCTTGTAGCGTTTATTTGATCAACTTGTGAAGAGGTACTACTACCAGCTAACAGAGGGATGTGGCAGCTCAGAATGTCGCAACAAGTTCTGCCGAAGTGCCCCAGGTAATTTTCAACTCAACAAGGACCATATACATAGTAGTATGGTTATATTGATAATAACCTGCTGTTCCCACGATTACATTCACTGCTCTTCTACCCCACATTGAAATCTCTGAGGCGTGGAAACTCTAATTATTTCATAACACCAAAATACTCCTCCAGTAATTCAATGTGCCTCCTGAAACATTCTGTTAAGAAAATTGTAAACTATTGCACAAAAATCTTGCCTGTTGTCAAAATTCCTCATTAAACCCCTTCTCTTGATTGACAATCTCCAAATGCAGTGATCTCCCCAATATTCAAGTGGGCACTGTACCCACTTGAGATCCCAATAATAGACTTGCACCCACCAGAGAATCAATTTGCACCCACATGAAAATGAGAAAATCATGAAGATAGGCATATTTGGCCTATTTTGGTTTAAATTGTGAATATAAGAGTTTTGCACTTACTTGAGAAATAATACTGGGGGAACACTAAAATGATTGTTATTTATACAATTGATATACAATGTACCGTATGTTATATATTTTCAGCCCGACTGAAAGTGAAACCAGGGTTTGCTGCTGTGTTGAGTATTGAGCTGGCCTCTAGGAATAAACCATATCTATGTAGCAACAATAAATACCTGGAGAAACCACTACCACCTGATGTATGTATCTGTGGAGGATTTTGTTAAAAACAACAATCTTATATCTATGATATTGTAATTTTGTAGTGCAACATCTAGTTGTTTGTGTAATTTGGGGATTTTTAGATTTAAGTTTTAAAAAATAAGTTTTGGAAGTTACTTACTTTTAAATTTTTATTTTATGGATGCCAAAGTTTTTGAAGATAATGAATTATTTCAATGATCTTTTCAATAAGTCTGTGTTTGTTAAAAGCAATACAGTAAAACCTGTCTTAGTGAACACCTCTCTCAAGTGAACACCTGTCTCTAGTTGAGACCCTCCGCACATACTTTATTGACTTCTGTATAGATAACCCTCTCTATAGTGAACACCTACTAACATGGAATGTTTTTTCTCAGAAAAAAAGTTCAATATATACAGATTTTACTTTTTATTGATGTCCATACAACAGTCATTGGAAAGGTTGTCTGCTGGACCTGATTCTGCCTCTAATTCACATATTTATTTTTTTGCAGATCTTCAAGGTTGAGAAGCATCAAGTCCGTCCATTTCTCTATCACATGTTCTCAACGTCACCTTTCAAGTCTTTATTTCAAAATAATGAAAAACTGAATCCATCCAATGAAATGCGGGCATCATTCAGTCTAACGCAGACTCTCGAAGGTTGCCTATCACGAGCCACATCTAGAGAGAGTGTTAAAACTGAGGGAGGCTCAAACAAGGGAAGTCTCGGAGATATTTTCTGTACTCTTAATCCAGCGAGACTTCTCCGGGAGAAGTCCAAGCAAGCAGTGAATAGCCGTAGAGGAAGTCTTACATTAACTAGTTCAACAGATGAAAGGAGGCATAGCTTAACTAGTTTAGTAAAATCACCCGATACTAGTCCAGAGAGGAAATCAGGGTTGTATGATCGACAAATCAGCTCAAGCACAGGGAATCTCAATGAATCTGGGTGGGTACATCAGTGCGTCTTTTTTATAGCACTAAAAATGTTGTATCATGTTTATCTTGTTCCTATGGGTGGGTCAGTATGAAATGTGGTTGTTTGGTAAGGTAACTGGTCAACTCGTACCCAAGACAAGTCGTACCCAAGACAACTCGTACCCAAGACAACTCGTACCCAAGTATATATTTTGTTTTGAATCAAACATTGGACTGGGAATGTAAATAGATATACATATTATAATTGTTACATACTCTTCGGAATAGTTTAAAGTTTGAAGAAGCATTTTCGGAAGAAATTGATTTAATTTTGTGACATTTTGAGCTTTGATTGTCAATTTATTTTGACTATTATTTTATATTGGTCACAGATTCAGGATGTTTAAGTGAAGAGACATATGTTTATTCCACATATTTATAATCATATTTCAAAATGTTGATGAGTGTTTAGAACAAGTGTCAGATCTAATTCATCTTGAAAAATGGTATTATTATAAAAAATATAGATTTATCAAATCTTGGGCCTTATTTCTTATTAACAGATTATCTATTTGTCTAGGATTTCATATTATCAGAAGTCACATTCATGACATTCAGCAATAAAATATTTTTAATAATATAATATATATATAATAATTTCTAATATTAATATTCATACATAATATAATACATTTTGTACACATGTGCTCAAACATAATCCAATTTAGTTCCAAGTAGAAAAGAAATTAACAGATTAAACTTCCTTTAACTTTCTCTAAATGCACAAAATTAATTGTTTGATTCATTTGTAGAAAAGTTACAATTGTAATTATATTTATTTACAAAAATGTTGAAACAAGCTCTTCAAGTACTTCTTTTATTTTATATAAAAAAGTGACTCAAGTTAAATCAAAATGCTTTACTCAATGAATTGAGAAAAAATGTCTTCTAAATTCAAAACAAAATATTGAGGCTTACTTGATTCACATTTTAACATGAAAACATTATTATACAAACTCAATTTGTTTTCCTAATATGCACCCTTAATACTGATAATAAACTTGGGTACGAGTTGTCTTGGGTACGACTTGTCTTGGGTACGAGTTGTCTTGGGTACGACTTGTCTTGGGTACGAGTTGACTAGGAAGCGTTTGGTAAATATTACATAATTACCAATGAGTAGGTGACGATTTAACTAAATTGAAATTGAATGTGATGAGCACTTTTAAATGGACTGTTGTCCCGAGCACTCATTTTTTACACTGAGTGCTTCAGTGTGTTTCCATGGAAGCTGGTCTAAAGTCAGATTTTCATCCTCCAAATGCATCCTCCACTCTATCCTTCTAAAGTCTGAAGCAATGCATTTGGAGAATGGGAATTTTCATGAATTTTGAAAGATCATGTTGATGGAGAAATATTCTGAAAATGAAAGAGTTTGCTCTTTTTATCTTATTCTCCTGAGTTATGTATAATAAGAGACTACAGTGAAAATGTGAATTTATGTATTCATTTTTTGTTATAGAGACGATGATATCATCTCAAGTTTTCCACTCACACCAAAAAATCTTGGCGCTGATTTTGAATCTGCCAACGATTCTGCAAACAATTCTGATATTTGCTCAATTGAATCCAACAACAGCCCACTTGCCATATATGGTTCTAACGAGGATATAGCCGACCAATTGAATCAGCTAGAAGAGTTTGAAAGACAGTTGTCTTTAGAGATGAACGGAGCTCAAGAATTTTCTCTGACCCATCTCAACATCCCGATGTTACAGGTATGCTAAAATTTTAAAGTGCAAATTGTTTCCTATAATTCTGTCCTGAAAAAGAACTACAATAAGTCTTTGTACAAAACTCATTTTTATTGAGAACGCCATTCTAAAAGCTCAAGAGGGAGTTCATTTTTCCGGAAATGGATTATAGTGTTGTGTATAATATAAAGCTGCACCATTGAAGCCAAATAGATTAAATAAGTGTGTGAGTATAATTTGGAATGTAAACGTTATGTATATGGCTATTTACAATGTATGTCCTTTTCCCACATTGCCCTTAATCTCTGTCAAGCATTTTGAAAAGATGACCCCTGAAGCACTTTGACATCACGACAAAGAAGTGGTGATATATTGATATAGGCACCATTTTTGTAGATGACTTCAACCTTCAGCGTCAACTAAACAGTCTGCCTCTGTGAGTTATCTTTTTATGTCACCACCAGAAGTGGTGACATATCGTTAGGGTCTCCAACTTTTTGTGTTTGGCATTCGGTGTTCAGGGGTTGGTTTGCGGCAGTTGGCATCTGTAACAAATGGTAGGTTGACAAATGACATTTTGCATGTTAATGTCTCGTTTGTTATTATTTTCATGTGGTGACGTGGCAGTTTGTTGTGATGATGCCTTGTTCTCATTGGTCAATATACTTTTGTTTCAGAGTGCCAAAGAAAAGTGTCTTGACACGGGAGACCACTCATTCCTTATAAACACAATCCGTACAGTATTTACATCATCTGAAGCTCTGAACAATAGCTTTAAGGTAAGTCTTTTTTACTAAAGATTGTTAACATTGTCTTCTAAGCGGATTCAAAAGGGAGACATTTAGATAGATTTACTATTTGTCATCAAAGGATCTTCATGCAGAGATGCAATATCAGTCCTCTATGTTATAAGATAATTTCAGTACAACTTTTTGAACCATTGGGTAACTTTTTGAGATTTTTTGCTCCTAATCTAATTGATTCAGTTCAGTTAAATTGTCATACAATCAAGAAGGATCTCAACATGAGAGTTTGAATCTGGAAGTGGGTAAATAAAATTTATTTGAACACCATAAGAATTACATCATACAATTTTGTCTTGACATTGACAATAAAATCACCGGGATTACTTTTTGGTTTTATTTAAAGTTGCTAGCAACTCCCATTAAAATATCAGGTTACATCCACACTTTAACATGGTACATAGAGTCAGGATTGGTAAGTTTAATTAACAGCATTGCTTAATACTTCATTTTGATTGGCTAAAAGCATGAGGATTTTTAAATTTTAAAAAAGGGTGTAAAATCTAACTACAGAACATGAACATTAAAACATTAAAAGATAAACATAACAAAATCTGAAGCAATACATTTTCTCAATCAATATGAAATTTGAGAAAATTGGCCAGTGAAAATATCAAAAATCCAGATATTTTGGCTGTTCCATTAGTCTGCCTTCTATTTATACCCCATGTCCTATTTTAAATGCTAAAACATAAATGTAATAAATATTGTAATTGTACAAATATAAGAAGACTACACCTTGTATAAAACATTTTAAATAACATTTAACAATGATAATTCTGTGGTGGTTTATGTCCCCAAAAGACTCTGGATATACTATACAGGACTTTTGTCATTTTTATTTTTCATAAAAAGCACCATAATTCAGCATAATTTGATTATACATGCAGGTGACAAAAGTGCTAATTATATCCAGTCAAGAACTTTTACATGTATGCTTTTGTCTTTTGGGATGGTTCATGGATTTTAAAATACTATGTCTCGGGCAAGTTTATAGCTTCTTGTACATTTATTGCATCGGAATAATTCTTTTGAATTCTGTCCTGCATTAGTTAGAAAAACCGTAGATGTTTCTTTAATTGTCATCCTGACTAGCAAGGCTAGCAAGGTGTCTTGCCAGGAGATCCAGCTCAGTACTAAGACCAGCATTGACCAGACGCTCATTAAACGCGTCTTGGTCTCCATTTACTTTCAATAAACAATTCAGAAGCAGGCTTGTCATGTTTCCGACATCTTGGTTGTAAGGCACCTGAAATATTTGAAAGAGTAGTTCGGTTGATATAATGGTATACTATTGATATTGACGCCCACATAGATTTAAGTATCAATAACATGAAATATGAAATTCCCTGGTAATGAACAAATCAATGTCAATGTCAAAATTGCTATAACTATTATGGAATAACACCTCCCCAAACTCATTCAACTAAATGGATAGATGTGATGCTCACTAAAGGCAAAAATACAAGGACACAAACTCACAAGATTCTTCCCTAGTATAGAATCAATAGAGAGAGGGGGAGAGGGAGGGGGAGAGAGAAAAATCTCTTACTTGATTGAACTTTTTTCCTGATAGTGAAAATGCATCAAGTAAGGCAGGTAAGGCTTCATCATCAAGGTTATACGTTATCAGATCCGCTAACCACACCAATGCTTCAAAGTCTTCAGGACCTGTAATGAATAATATGCAAACTGAATGAAAATAAATACAGAGTGTTCCTCTATGGTTATACTCCTGTTCGCTTCTTTAAACACTCTATCTATACTCATGTTGATTTTGAATAAAAGAAAATACAACAATGCATTGTTGACTGAACAAAATCTTGGCCATAAAGTACCCAAATGAGTACAGTGAAATATGTGAAACAAGATTTAAAGCACATGTCACAATGATGTAAAGGACTGTGTTTTCAACAAAAATAGTTCATCCAAGTGCAGTTACACTCACATACTTCTTTTGAAAGACATCACGGTTTTTGCAATTGAACTGTAGGTACTAGCAAGGGTGCAACTAAGCAACGTGGTCAGCTGACACATTGCAATTAGCGGTGTAAGAATGAGCTGTTTTTGTTGAAAACATGTAACCATGGATTTGCACCGCAAGGGCTTATTGTTCATTTTCGTGATACTTAGAGTGAAAACTGATGAATATTATGCAAATGACTTCTACTGCGGGCGGTTTAAAAATGCAGCCAAACATGTATTAAAGAACTATGAAAAAATGATATTAGTCATGAGTGTAGTGCTCTTTTTATGAGTAGTACGCAACCTCGGGAACATGAGTTGAGTGAAGTGAAAAACTAGCGTTCAGGGGGGTTTGGGGGTTTTCCCCCTTAAAATTTTGAAGTTTAGTTGTATTTTTGGAGTGTAATTGCTCCCATCTTCATAAATATACATATATATGAGTCATGAATCTCATTTATTAAATATTTGTTTTGAAAATTGAATCAACTCACCCCGCAGTTTAATTCTTATATACCATTCCTTCATTAAATGTTGGTAGCTGAGTCTTCTGAAGCGTCTACCTATTTCTTTTAATCTCTCCTGTTTCTCCTGATCTGAGGCATCTGTGATATAAAAAGAGGGAAGCCATTTTTAATGTTATTTGTACCTTGTATTGGTAAAAGAAAATCCCTCATTTCATAAATTATAAGCTTATGAGTTTTGACCACCACACCGGATATGAATAACATCAATTGTAATGGTAATCTTTTTTCAGGGACACCCCTGGATTCTGAGACTGCAATCTTATGTAACTTTCCATAATGATATAGGAATGGCTGCTGTTCAATTTTGAATTTTTTATTCATGACATAACTCCATATACATCAGAAAATCGAGAATGCTAGAGGCTGTTCACACTGAGGTGATCTGTATTATTTAAACAAACATTTATTGATGTCTTAGTCACAAACCATCTTTGAATAAGATAGATTAAAGTTTAGAAAACCTCACCAACTTAGGCCCTCATCATATTTTTTCCACAGAAATACTGAACAAAATTTTAATTTCATACCTGCTCTCAGCGATTCTTCAACTGCATAGTTGATGTTGTGGTATTTTTCCCTCAGAATTACTGAGTTGTGAATTTTGTTTATATAACTCGAACTGGGGAGTATCAGGCTCATCTAAAAACATTTTAGATTTATATTGATCATACATCATCAAATAATCTATTTTGACCTTCAAGTTTATCAGATTTCGTTTCAGGAACATTGTTTTTTCATTTCCATTTTTATCGTTGAGCACAGTCTATTGGAATGCGACTTAACCTCCATTTAAGTGTATATCAATATGTCTTGAAGTCAGAGACGTCAGCCCTATTGATTTGGGATCAAACAATTTTGTATGGAGTTCAACAGGATCTTTTCACGCCTTTCAAATTCCCACATGCTTATTTAATAATAGAAATAAAAATCACAGGGATTATTTACATTAGATTACTTTACTTTTGATATAAAGAATCAATAATTCTTTATACCCTATTTAAATACATATTACAGGTATCCTACCTTCAGTTCTGAATAAATAGCAAACTTTGAAGAAAAAACAGCATGGACGACGTCACTTTCTGGAGAATTCTTTTATAGTTCGCGTTATAGGTCACGTGCTGGGTTCGTTAGTCACGTTATAAGTCAGTGTCAGGTTTGAGATACTTCCGAGTTTAGAAATTGAAAATTAATTAATTTGATTTTGATAAATAAAAGATTTGTATTGTAGAAATAGGAAATCAACTAAGCATACCTATATTTTGATTAATTAATCTATGACCACATTTTGGGATTCAGATGGTGCACCTTGAAAACGTAAATATGAAACTGTTACAATCAATAACTAATAGTAACACTAAAATGTTTGTGTATTTCATTTACTGTTTTTTCCTTTTTAAATGCTGCTAGAAGTAACCTAAGGACATGTAATATTTGACCTTTTGACCTTTGAAGAGATCAAAAGGGGTGACTCAAATATAAAGCCTAGTCTGTTCTGATGTATGATGCTTTATTTGATATACAGAGGTTATTTAATGGGAGGTTTTTGATACAGGGTATATCTGAGGGAAATACAATATATCTACCTGTGAGACCGTAGGGACCAAGGGTTGATACATGTATTTACCGAGGGATATACCTGTATCAAAAATCGAGTATTTAATAACTGATTTATTATATACTTAGTAGACTATGAGGAATAATAGCCAAGTCCCCTGGCTCAGTATCTCCCTGAATTTGTGACGTAGTAGATCTGATGAGTGGGTGATATATATATCACCTGCTCACGTCACATATCAATTATATTCCCATTGAAAGCCCATGGTATGGAATAAACATTTTTATCCCATACCAGCCTTACCAGGACATGTTTGAGGTAATAATAAAGCAGGTTTGCAAAAAGTTGTATTTTCATCAGCTGGCAAGATATGGCTTTACATCCTAGCTGACTGGGCATATATATTTATCTACTACATCATATGCCATTCGAATGTTGGTGCATTTTTTACATAATTACTGTGAATATCAATAAAGAAAATGCTGACAGTCGCGAACTGTTTGATGATTTAAACGAGGAAATGAACATATGATACTTATCTCTGTTAATATATCCAAGATTCAAGAATATAACTTTGATATGAATCTGAAAGAACAGGAAAATATGGTCAAAGCCAAGAAAGGAAACCTACCCACAAATATTCGAAAAGGATTCCCACAGGCCAATTGAACATTGTGATCCAGATGAGCAAGATTGGTGTGGGATCATCCTATGCTTATCAGATTTTCTTCAAATTCCCACACATGATAGAGAATACCAAGTTCTAAAGGTGATTAACTTTTGGGTGACCAACCTAGAATAAGTACTTATAAAGCCCCCCAAAAAGACAAAATATGATTTGTCTATATTTTCACGCGGTAGTATCTCTTCGGGACGTATCGAAACCACTCCGTCCCGAAAAACCGTTAATTTGAATTTAAAACCTACCCCAGTGTTTGAAAATCAAGGATTGTGAGTCTCACACTTCACTGTTTTTCTTCAAACTTGTTCCGTACAAAGCTTTACAGAAATACCTTTCAGTCGATACATTGTTTTCGTGTACAAAGTACCTCGTTTTAGCGGTGTTTTGGTCCCCAGCTGTGAGATAAAGCAAATTTTCATAACTTTCAACTGTAAGTCAAGTTATCTCGTCAGTCTTTTACCCATTCTCGCCCATAATTTCAGAATGGACTCCCATTACAACCTTCCATCGCTACGTCTTGATTTTTGGGCATCAAACGCAGCAGTTTCTAAATCATCCACACATCTCTTCAAATTTGACTAATACGTCCCGTCACCTTCCAGTACGCCCCGCCGAGTCTATCTATTAGTGGAAGATGACGGGACGTATTGGTCAAATTTGAAGAGATGTGTGGATGATTTAGAAACTGCTGCGTTTGATGCCCAAAAATCAAGACGTAGCGATGGAAGGTTGTAATGGGAGTCCATTCTGAAATTATGGGCGAGAATGGGTAAAAGACTGACGAGATAACTTGACTTACAGTTGAAAGTTATGAAAATTTGCTTTATCTCACAGCTGGGGACCAAAACGCCGCTAAAACGAGGTACTTTGTACACGAAAACAATGTATCGACTGAAAGGTATTTCTGTGAAGCTTTGTACGGAACAAGTTTGAAGAAAAACGGTGAAGTGTGAGACTCACAATCCTTGATTTTCAAACACTGGGGTAGGTTTTAAATTCAAATTAACGGTTTTTCGGGACGGAGTGGTTTCGATACGTCCCGAAGAGATACTACCGCGTGATTTTTCAATGATGCATTTCACGTAGCTATTTGCATGATCTGAAATTACTAAGTCAAGCAAATTAAGCAGTTTTAAACCTTAAGACTGTCTCACTGTTCCACAGCTGGATGACTCTAACTGCAGTTAGCATCATTTAAGATGGTTTCCGAAATTTTTTCGTTTTTGACAAACCTCCGATTTCAGCTAAACTAAGCTGAATATTGATTCCAAAAGTTTCACCATGCAAACCAATAAAACTATGATTGTAAAAAAACACAAATAAATGCCCAAACACCCGCAATATTAGAGAATTTGAAACAAAATGGCTTCACTTAGCATGACGCTAACTGAAGTTGATGATGACAACTTCAGTTAGAGTCATTCTAAGAAGTGAAGCTGTTTTCTTTAAAATTCACCCATATCATGGTTGTTAGAGCTTTTATCTGTGGTTGTTTACAATCGTAGCTTTATTAGTTTGCATGGCGAAACTTTTGGAATCAATATTCAGCTTAGTTTAGCTAAAATTGGAGGTTTGTTGAAAACGAAAGAATGACACTATCTGCAGTTAGAGTCATCCAGCTGAGGATTACCCTGCGTGCAGAGTCTAGTTAAACTACACTCTGCCTAGTAGAGACCATATTACAGTTTAGTAGCCCCGCCCCCACGACGGGTACTGGTGACAGTCTCGCTATATCACTTTTGACCTACGCGCTAATCAGCGAGCTTGAAGAAACATACGCCAAATGCGTTCTAATTAAATATGCGCATGTCATTGGTCAATTCCGGGCTCAACGATGACGTCAGAAGGAATGACCATATAAAGAACGTCGGTCAAATTTGGCCGACGAACACTGATTGGCGCGGTCAGTTCACAGGTTTATTTGAGTTTGAAAGAGTGAAGACGAAGCTCTCTTTTAAGAAGTGAAGTCAAATGAATGCAAAGGGTAGCTGAGGATCAGTGTGTCTGGCATAATTTTCTGACATTTCTATATAATTTAGAGTGTTATCTACATACCATGCTTGTTTGCTTTCTTCTTGGAGAATTATTTCTCCCATTATTCGAAAGTTGAAGCATGACCACTATTAAATTGTTTTTCCAGATTGATGAAGAGAAGTGTAGCGGGCCTGACAATCTTGACATAGATGCAGTTAGAGTGGCATATGAGCTTATCATGACAGAGAGACCATTTGTAAGTCATATTATTATAGTATTAAGTGACATAGATGCAGTTAGGGTGGCTTATGAGCTTATCATGACAGAGAGACCATTTGTAATTCATATTATTATAGTATAAAGTGACATAGTTGCAGTTAGAGTGGCATATGAGCTTATCATGACAGAGAGACCATTTGTAAGTCATATAATTATAGTATTAAGTGACATAGATGCAGTTAGAGTGGCTTATGAGCTTATCATGACAGAGAGACCATTTGTAAGTCATATTATTATAGTATTAAGTGACATAGATGTAGTTAGGGTGGTATATGAGCTTATCATGACAGAGAAACCATTTGTAAGTCATATTATTATAGTATTAAGTGACATAGATGCAGTTAGAGTGGTATATGAGCTTATCATGACAGAGAAACCATTTGTAAGTCATATTATTATAGTATTAAGTGACATAGATGCAGTTAGAGTGGTATATGAGCTTATCATGACAGAGAGACCATTTGTAAGTCATATTATTATAGTATTAAGTGACATAGATGCAGTTAGAGTGGTATATGAGCTTATCATGACAGAGAGACCATTTGTAAGTCATATTATTATAGTATTAAGTGACATAGATGCAGTTAGAGTGGTATATGAGCTTATCATGACAGAGAGACCATTTGTAAGTCATATTATTATAGTATTAAGTGACATAGATGCAGTTAGAGTGGTATATGAGCTTATCATGACAGAGAGACCATTTGTAAGTCATATTATTATAGTATTAAGTGACATAGATGCAGTTAGAGTGGTATATGAGCTTATCATGACAGAGAGACCATTTGTAAGTCATATTATTATAGTATTAAGTGACATAGATGCAGTTAGAGTGGTATATGAGCTTATCATGACAGAGAGACCATTTGTAAGTCATATTATTATAGTATTAAGTGACATAGATGCAGTTAGAGTGGTATATGAGCTTATCATGACAGAGAGACCATTTGTAAGTCATATTATTATAGTATTAAGTGACATAGATGCAGTTAGAGTGGTATATGAGCTTATCATGACAGAGAGACCATTTGTAAGTCATATTATTATAGTATTAAGTGACATAGATGCAGTTAGAGTGGTATATGAGCTTATCATGACAGAGAGACCATTTGTAAGTCATGTTATTACAGTATTATTAGTCACATTCAAATTACATGTAGATATATGAAGGGGGTCTTTTTCAAAATGTCCATGCTCCAGGGAACAAGCAGAAGTAAGAATGGTTGTTTATATTTTCTTCCAAACAAAACTTATCATACTCATATGTCTTCATTCTTTAAACAAGCTTTTGACCTACAGTATACTGTTTATACTATCCCATGTTAACCCAAGGGACTGTTATTATAAGGATTGTCACTTTATTTAAAGCAAAGAATTATTCAGTGGTTTTGATAATATAAAAAATTTTCAAAACCCGAAAAGAGACACTCTTGAACAACAATCTGGTAGCAGTAAGTGAACTTCCATTTACATGTCTATGCATCCTTTAGGCCACTGTTAATGTACAACTACACCCTTCATATACTCCTTCATGTATATGTGTGTTGGTATTTATTTTCAGGATGTCTTTCACTCCACATTGACCAACTCAACCGAGATAATCCTCTCCACACTTGCCAGGATACATGTGTTCCCAACTGATGTCAATCAGGTATGTGCATTTGGGGTCTGTGTATGTACTGTTTAGAACCCAACTTGTAAAAAGCAACTAGGGTTAGCTTGTTAAGTGATGGGAGTTTATGATGCTGTTTCTATTAAATTCAATTTTTGGAGGGCTATGGACATTGATTAGGAGCATGAAATATTCCTTGAAAAGCAGATTTGTCCTGTCACATTTATGAATATGACGTGTTGAATTTTCAACATCAAATGTGTTGATTGAAATCCTCTTATGTCTTATTCAAACTTTTTCATGTCCCTATTGTCAGATATAGAAACATGTTTTAACATCTTATATTAAGATTTTTGATTAAGTATTAATTTTATAATTTCTTAACTAAGATAACAACAAAAATTCAATGTAGTCATCTGTTGCTATAGTTACAATATACCTGTCTTCAAATGTTAACCAATCAAAATGCAGAATTTGTATAATGTGCATAATAATATACAATATACTATACTTCCAGATTGTCATAATACTTGAAAATCCAATATTCCGCAAAAGACGCAACCATGTCCTACGTCAAAAATTATGCACCATCTTGAGTGGTTTGACACCAGAAACAAAGATGGCACTTTGTCAAATTCTTTCCACATACAATTCTAGTCACTTTGAATACCGGATGGGCATGCTGAGGGACCATTTGGCATTACAACTGAAGCCAACACAGAAGTAAGACATATGTACATTTACATATGACAAAAACTGTATTATACAAGGGACGATCCATATATTCTGATAAAAATGCTGTAACATTGCCTATTAACATTTTTTCCAAGGCAAGCCAGTTTGAGGTCAAGCTGAATTCAGAATTCATCAAAAATTGAAAAGTGGTTTGAACTTAGCTGATCTCCTTTGACCTTTATTCACATAATCAAATCCAACCATATTAATGATCTCAGAAGCAACCCTAGATCTTCCGGTCAATGTTAGAACAACCTCAGAAGCACTGACTGTTCATAATTATATGTTCGATATTTTTTGCGATGCTGTTTTGAAGAAGTGGTGCTATTTTGTTAAAGCATCCATTTTATGATCAAATGTTGCTGTTAGCATTTGGAACAACTGTTACAAAAAATAAAAAATAAAAAAAACTGTTACACTTTTTATTTCACCACCACAAGTCTCCAATTTTTGTGGATGGTTTTTGGCATTCGATGGTTGGTGTTTGGCATTCGGTGTTTGTAACACATACGCCCGACAGTCAGCATCTGTAACAAATGACAAGTAGTGTTGACATATTGCTATAATCTCATTGGCATTCGACACACAGTTAGCATCTGTAACAAATGACAAGTAGTGTTGACATATTGCTATAATCTCATTGGCATTCGTTGTCTGCAACACATACATTTAGTGGTCTGCATCTGTAACAAATGGCAGGTGGTGACATTTTGCATGTTAATGCCTCGTGTAACCATTTGCAGGTAGTGTCATTTTCTAATGTTAATGCCTTGGTTTTTATTTCAGGGCAGATAGTGCTACCTTGGAGACTGCAGCAGCACTAGAGCTTTTCTATGAAGCTAACATGATGGCTCATAGGCGGCACAAATCTTATATAGTTCCACCTAAACTATTTTATGTAGATTATATATCAAAGTAAGTAAATCAAACTTGCTATTATACAGTACGTGATGGCTCATAGACGGCACAAATCTTATATAGTTCCACCTAAACTATTTTATGTAGATTATATATCAAAGTAAGTAAATCAAACTTGCTATTATACAGTACATGATGGCTCATAGACGGCACAAATCTTATATAGTTCCACCTAAACTATTATATGTAGATTATATATCAAAGTAAGTAAATCAAACTTGCTATTATACAGTACGTGATGGCTCATAGACGGCACAAATCTTATATAGTTCCACCTAAACTATTTTATGTAGATTATATATCTAAGTAAAGTAAATCAAACTTGCTATTATACATGATGGCTCATAGACGGCACAAATCTTATATAGTTCCACCTAAACTATTTTATGTAGATTATATATCAAAGTAAGTAAATCAAACTTGCTATTATACAGTACGTGATGGCTCATAGACGGCACAAATCTTATATAGTTCCACCTAAACTATTATATGTAGATTATATATCAAAGTAAGTAAATCAAACTTGCTATTATACATGATGGCTCATAGACGGCACAAATCTTATATGGTTCCACCTAAACTATTTTATGTAGATTATATATCTAAGTAAGTAAATCAAACTTGCTATTATACATGATGGCTCATAGACGGCACAAATCTTATATAGTTCCACCTAAACTATTTTATGTAGATTATATATCAAAGTAAGTAAATCAAACTTGCTATTATACAGTACATGATGGCTCATAGACGGCACAAATCTTATATAGTTCCACCTAAACTATTTTATGTAGATTATATATCAAAGTAAGTAAATCAAACTTGCTATTATACAGTACGTGATGGCTCATAGACGGCACAAATCTTATATAGTTCCACCTAAACTATTTTATGTAGATTATATATCAAAGTAAGTAAATCAAACTTAATTTTACTGATGTATGTACAATTAACAATTAAATATTCCTTCAAAAAACTCAAAATAAATTACATTGAAGATACCAAAAATGCTGCCCAATCTTTCATGACTTTGATCTTTTAGTTGCATTTTTAATGACGTCCAAATCTATCAGATCTTAATTTGAAGGTCGAAGGTTCAAATGTCACCGATGATCACTAAAAGGTCAAAACATCAATTTTATTACAACCCATGTGCTTGCAGACGTATCAATAACAGGATGGAGTATGAAGCTTGGAGTATGCAGCAAACCCATGCCACGTCATCAAGCCTGAAAACTCTGCTGGATTACCCCTTCCTCATAGACCCTGCAGTAAGTACTGTACTATTGTTTTAAATTTGATGAATGAATAACGTCCTAAATGATTATTTTACTACAAATACTATAATTTAAGCATTCTTATTCAGTCCAGTTCAATAGAAGAGATGAAATAATATAAGTTATTGAATGAAGTCGAATATATCCTGTATTGCACTTCAAATTATTCAATAACGTTTTTATCGTGTGATCCTCTGTATTGGTACTGAGTTTGTCCCCCCGTACCAATATTTTCTGTATTGTGACGGAGATGATCAACAGGGACAATCTCAGTAGCAATACAGAATTTTGGTACAGCACAAGAACTGACCAATCAGAGGGCTTCATTTTACAGATCATACGATAAATGTGTATATACAGGGCGGGCAATTGTTTCTGAAATAAGATAAATAGATCTTCATCGGGTTTCTGAATAGTAAAGGTAAACAGACACTAAGAGCCCATTTAAAATACAGAGATTGAAAGTTTGAAAATATCAAACTGATTAGGTTTTTGGCATTCTGGGTAGATCATTTAAAGTAGCTTTTTGAATTTTCCATCCTATAATCTTGTCTGCAAAGTCTTGTTTACATGTTAACTTGACTATATTCACCACAACAAATTTTATGACAAACATTTAGGATCATTGATTTGTTCAATAAAAGGAGTCGGTCGTATCTTTAAATTATTGTATTAAATTGTGCATAACCTTGATACCTACACCAAAACAGAAAATATCCTAGTCAAAATGTCCTAAGTATTTGATCTGTGTCTGTCTATTTGGTGACATTTTGTAATGTCTCCAACTTTTTTTGTGGACAGTGTTCAGTCTTTGGCAGTTGGCATCTGTAACAAATGGCAGGTGGTGACATATTGCATGTTAATCCCTCGTTTATTTGTGTTGTAGTCCAAGGTACACATTCTACATCTAAATGCTGTAAGAGAGATGACAGGCGAATACCAGAAAGCTATACTACATCAAGCTGTGAGTAAACAATATGACAAAAGTAGTAGCCAACTTTTTAGGATATTAAACTGATAAAAATTGTTGACATAAAGCCTTGTTTATTATTGATGAAATATGTGACCACACTTCTCTTTTTCCAGTGAGTCAGATCCAAAAATATCTTCAAATTTTGATCATAGTTTCCCAGAGAGGCCTTATCCTCTGCCTATCATTGTACTCGTACACCTTCCAGGTGTCCTTTCAAAATCATTCAGTTTTTCACCATTTTGAACACTTTTCTAGTGATTTGGGCCATTTTTTGGGCCAACCTGAACACCCTGGATTTTTTCAAAAAATGAGCCCCTTTGGCAAATCCTGGCTACAGGCCTGCCTTTTAAGTCTGTGGAGGAATTGCATCCTTGGCCCAAGAGTAATTCATTGCATTACATTATGATCTGCTATGAAAGCAGTGAAGGACCGATCTTGAAGGATGGAGGAATTGGATATTAAATTAATGTGGGATTCTCTCCTTTTCAGCGAGTCAGTCAGATTCAAAAGTACCACAGAGAGATGAACAAATCTCCGCTAAAACTTCCCAACTCTGTAAGAGCGGCTATGTCCCCGTTCTTGGTACTAGAAGTATCTAGAGAGAATCTCATCAAGGACACACTCGCTCAAATAAAACTGAAGGAAGCGGATTTGAAAAAGCCGATCAAGATTAAATATATAGGAGGTGGAGAGCAGGTGAGTAATTCTATGTCACCAAGAATAAGTGAGAGATTTTTTGTAACAGCGAAGGGGAGTTTGGATTTGTGTCTTTTATAACAACACTTTTGTAACAATTTGCAGCTACTTAAACTACTGTAGGTGGTAAATTTGTCAGGTTAATGTCATGCCATAGTTAAATAATGTCTACAATAAAATTCAGAAATTGTTTCAATGGCTTTTAGGAAATGTCTTGCTTGGAATGAAACAAAATATGATAATATAATGAATGAAAGTTTGGTGACTTTCGATGAGAAATTAGTGATGATGACTTCATAATGCATAATATTACACATCTCCTTTTTAAATCAAATTGATAGGGCCTTGACATGGGTGGTGTTCAGAAAGAGTTCTTCCAACTGTTAACCGCATCAATATTCGACCCAAAGTATGGTATGTTCACCTACTCTTCAGATACAAGGAATCTATGGATAAATGGTGAGTAAACTCTATGAAGATTTTTTCCAGTATATTTAGGGTAGGGGTAGTTGACTAAAAGTATGTACAGATGTATATGGTCACACCTACTCTGCAGATACAAGGAATCTTAATTAGTGTTAAGAATGCAGATATTCTTGAAGGTCATGTTGACATTTATCCAGCTCATTACTACATATATGTATATACACATTTGACAAAACTTTTTTTCTTGGGATATGCTCCTCTTGTCTATAGAGGCTTTGGTGGATAACAGATTCCTTTGTAGGAATTCCCAAAAACTGTTATGTGAAACATCTCATAGGGGGGACACCTCAAGGTTTTTGAACCAGACTGTAATGTGTTTAATGCATTCTGAAAAACATACACATCTGTAGCATGTACATGTATTTAGTTTTCCATATTTTCTTGTGAATTTTCTTTTGAACATCCATGATATCAATATCTCTCACTTGTGGCCTTCCAAAGGCATTCCTCTTGTGTATACATGTATCAATAACCTTAATGTTATTACAATATACTTTCAGGTAACTCTCTCGATTCAACAGAGGAATTTGAGCTGGTAGGAATAATATTGGGTAAGTGGTATTATTGTGAATTATGAATTTTAAAATATTTCAAATTACTGATTTTCTTTATATATGTTAACTTAATGGACTAGATAAAGATGTGTATGGAAAAAGGAAAAATATTTATAGGATATCCTATGATTTTGAGGAATATCATTTTTATGTACGAGGTGATATTGATATCTGCACGAGAGAGCAGTATCTGAGATGACATATTAGTTATTGTGAAACCTTTTCTGGTTTGGGAAAATTGGGCATCATATTTTGTGGTTTTATGGAAAGCATTTACATGCAAGCACAAAGTTGATTTGTAGCCCCATTGACTGCGAGCTTCCTTATATAGCACATTTTAGCCCACTGTGTTCTATGAATACAGTGCATGATATTTCTCACGAAACATATATTTGTGTTTTCAGGCCTAGCTATTTACAACGGGATCATTCTTGATATACGGTTTCCAAATGTTATATACAAGAAACTTCAAGGCGTGGCTTTAGATGCGAGTGACCTTCAAGATGTGGAGCCAACCTTGAGTTCATCATTTAATGACCTCTTGACCTTTGAGGGAGATGTAGAGGATGTGTTTTGTCAATCATTTGAGGTAACTAAGGTGACATTTGTCTTGGTAACCATGTACACACATACAGAACAGAACTTGACCAAAATACCACCTTTTCAAAGATCATGCGTTGTAATATGTTTAAAGTAATCATTACATGGATACTTTGATTGTTTCAAAAATCAAGTAAATTTTTGTATTTGTAGGTTACAACATCGGTGTTTGGGTCAACTTGTAGCAAAGAGCTTATCCCAGGGGGCGCTGATATCCCAGTCACCAATCAAAATCGAGAGAAATTTGTACGCATATACTCTCAGTACATCCTTGAAGAGAGCATATCTCACCAATTTGAGGTAAATAGCCTTTTGAGTTTGTAAATAGCCTTTTGAATTTGTAAATAGCCTTTTGAGTTTGTATATAGCCTTTTGGTACCCTTTGCATTCGTTTGACTTCACTTCTTAAAAGAGAGCTTCGTCTTCACTCTTTCAAACTAAACTAACCTGTGAACTCACCGCGCCAATTAGTGTTCGTCGGCCAAATTTGACCGACGTTCTATATATGGTCATTCCTTCTGACGTCATCGTTGAGCCTGGAATTGACCAATGATATGCGCATATTTAATTAGAAGGCATTTGGCGCATGTTTCTTCAAGCTCGCTGATTGGTGGAAGAAAGGTCAGCGCGTAGGTCAAAAGTGATTTAATACCCAAACTGTCACCGATACCCGTCGTGATGGAGGGGCTTATAAACTGTAATATGGTCTCTACTAGGCAGAGTGCAGTTTAACTAGACTCTGCACGCAGGGTAGCCTTTTGGATTTGTAAATAGCCTTTTGAATTTGTAAATAGTCTTTTGAATAATAATTAAAAGTCATCACTTGAATAAATGAGACATAAATAAAAAAGAAAAAAGAAATGTTGAGTTTATTTGTCAACCATTCAGTTGAGGATTCCACAAGGTGTGTGGCAGTGAAATGTTGAGTTTGTTTTTCAGCCTTTCAGTCGAGGTTTCCACAAGGTGTGTGGCAGTGAAATGTTGAGTTTGTTTTTCAGCCTTTCAGTCGAGGTTTCCACAAGGTGTGTGGCAGTGAAATGTTAAGCTTGTTTTTCAATTATTCAATCGAGGGTTCCACAAGGTGTGTGGCAGTGAAATGTTGAGTTTGTTTTTCAATTATTCAATCGAGGGTTCCACAAGGTGTGTGGCAGTGAAATGTTGAGTTTGTTTCTCAACCATTTCAATTGAGGGTTCCACAAGGTGTGTGGCAGTAAAATTTTGAGTTTGTTTTTCAGCCTTTCAGTCGAGGTTTCCACAAGGTGTGTGGCAGTGAAATGTTAAGTTTGTTTTTCAATTATTCAATCGAGGGTTCCACAAGGTGTGTGGCAGTGAAATGTTGAGTTTGTTTTTCAATTATTCAATCAAGGGTTCCACAAGGTGTGTGGCAGTGAAATGTTGAGTTTGTTTTTCAATTATTCAATCGAGTGTTCCACAAGGTGTGTGGCAGTGAAATGTTGAGTTTGTTTTTCAATTATTCAATTGAGGGTTCCACAAGGTGTGTGGCAGTGAAATGTTAAGTTTGTTTTTCAATTATTCAATCGAGGGTTCCACAAGGTGTGTGGCAGTGAAATGTTGAGTTTGTTTTTCAATCATTCAATCGAGGGTTCCACAAGGTGTGTGGCAGTGAAATGTTGAGTTTTGTTTTTCAATTATTCAATCGAGTGTTCCACAAGGTGTGTGGCAGTGAAATGTTGAGTTTGTTTTTCAATTATTCAATTGAGGGTTCCACAAGGTGTGTGGCAGTGAAATGTTGAGTTTGTTTCTCAACCATTTCAAATTGAGGGTTCCACAAGGTGTGTGGCAGTAAAATTTTGAGTTTGTTTTTCAGCCTTTCAGTCGAGGTTTCCACAAGGTGTGTGGCAGTGAAATGTTAAGTTTATTCCGTCCAGATGAGATTGAACTGTTGGTATGTGGGAATCCAAAATTGGTAAGTAAATTATGTATATTAAAATTTTAATATTTTTTAAAGTATAGTAAAGGATCCACATATCAATTGTTAATTCTCAAGGCAATTTACTTGCGGACCCATAACTATCCGAGAAATTGAGAAAATGCACAATTTCTTTGAATTTAAAGCTTTATGTCTCCCAACAATTCTGACACGTATACTGTCTTACGTCAGCCTCCTCAGTGGTTGTGTTCTGTTGATGTCTTACAATTTCAGTCAAAAAAGTTGTTTTGTTAATATTAATATTCTTGTGCAAGTATGTGTAAAGTACTTTCACCGTTCTAACTGGATGATATGAGCCAGGCCAGTTTTCCGGCCAGGTTCATATACTGGATGTACCTCTACATGGTTCGATGAAATTTGCCATTATATAAAGTAATCTAAATTCCTAGAGGGTTGATGGTCAAAAAGTACATTTCTGTTACATTATAAAAAGAAAATGTAACATTTTTACTTCTTTAAATTCCAGAACTTTAGTGCCTTAGAAAAATCTGCAAGTTATGCTGATGGCTACCATAGCGACCACCTGATCATCAAAAACTTCTGGTCAATAGTACATTCCATGAGTTTGGAGAAGAAGCGTAAATTATTGCATTTTATCACTGGGAGCGACAGGGTACCCTTAAAGGGACTGTCCCATCTTCCAATAGTCATACAGAAAAATGGAGTGGACTCTGACAGGTAATCAAATAAAGGAAGAACATATCTTTAAAGTGTATATAATTGTATGAAAATCCTGTTAATGTCTGCTTGAGGATTTCCAATTTAAAGTGGCACTCTCTCAAGGATTTCAAATTGAAATTATCTGGGGAGCTAGATGGATATCTCCTGTGTCTGTCTCATTTTAAAATTAAATGAAAGTGCAGAAAAAATGAACTTTTAGTAGACAATGACATCTTAAGAATATGGAGTTGTTCTCTTGGGAAATATGTGTATCTCTCTCCGTAAAGCTTCCTGTTGCCCTTCAAGATATACAAAAATATCTATCAAGATAAATCCTGTATCTAATCCCCCCCTCCCAGTACATAATGATTATATATGTTGATTTTCTACATTCAAGTACATGTACTTTGCTTATTACAAAACAAACTTAACGCTTGGGTATCATAGTTCCACTATCATCTTATGCTTAGGTCACATTTGATCCAATTTTTATAAATGACGCCCGACCTATTAGTACTTTGTTCAAAATCGCATTCAGTCTTGAACAAAATACTCATTGCCTGGGACTGGTATTGAACATCAGAGCTAATGTGACCTCTAGGCATAAGCAGTATGATTGTGAAGATGAAACCTCTTGTCTTCCAGGTTGCCGACTGCAATGACATGCTTCAACAGACTGCTGCTGCCCCCTTACAACACCAAGGAGAAGCTCAAAAATCGTCTTTTGGTCGCGATAGAGAACTGTCAAGGATTTGGATTAACCTGATGCTTAGAAAATGTTGCTAGAAACACAAATTGATATCCAAATATAAAAAATGTCAGGGCCATCTTTGTAACATTCAAAACAAATTAGGGAAGTTAACATGGTAGTCTTGTATTAAATCTTTGTACAACCCCTCTACCGCCTAAAATAAATTGATTTTCAACTATCAGGTATGAGATACAATGATATTATGTGTCAAGTATGGTGGTCCAAAAGAGCCCAGTTTCTTCTCATTTTGAGATGATTATCTCAACTTACGAGTATATTTCATCATTTTTGGAGTCGTCATACTTGCCAAAGCATGTTGCGAATGAAAAAAAAAAATTTGATGATTACCAAAATGAGAAATGGCAAAAGAATAAATTGTTTATTGAGAATTTAAAGGAAATGGCTCAACCAGAAAAAAGTTCAAAAAGTATGGGGATTTTTTGATTTGAGGAGCAGGGTTATGCCAAGGAAATAATTGTAAATTATTACTGGGCCTCTAGGAAGGCCATTTTTGTACTAATAGAGCTACCCACAATTAATATAGTTTTCAAATCAAATCAAATCAAGGAATTCAGATCTACTAGTCAAAGCTGAACAATGAACCATTTGCCACCTATACAAGTCATACACACTGAAATTATCAACTAGTCAATTGTGAAATTCAGTGCATATCAGGGGTGAACGATATTGTCAGATTCTTGATTTAGCATGTTTTTATCTTTTAAATGGCAAATACTGATATGTCTGAAATATGTACAATGAAATACAAAACTAAAAAATACATCATCAAATACAGTGTTTACCATTCACAGATCATAAAGGGAATTAAAGGGTTTATGCCTTCTTTTGCAAAACTGTACCTTTCCAAGCCAAATAAAAGGACATTACATTTGGTTTCATTTCCGAATATTTTATACCAAATGGTGATAAGTTAGTTGACCAAATCTTCGATATGAGAATTTAATATTTGTTTCAGGCATTGTCTGTATGGCCTTCCAGTATTATTAGAAGTACTGGTTTGTTTTGAATAGTTCATATTTTATACACTGATATGCATAAATGTATGGTATAAGTGGTATTTAATCCGAGTGGTTGATTTGCCGAATGGTCAAATTTTATCATTTTCTTAATTTTAATTTTCCTGATGACAAGAAACCTCCCATTGGACAACATTATGAAGATAATATGTTCCAAACCTGGCAAAAATTAGGCTATATGCAAATCAAATGATAAGGAAAAATTACCACTTATACAGTTTGCATATATGCACAAGACCATGGGAATTCAATAGAAGGGTATGAAACTCTGTGTTATTACATGAGAACTTCAAAATGAGCAGTGCCATGCTTCCTTTTTTGGTAATATTTCAAAAAGATTCAGATTAAAGTATATGTTTTGAGCATTATCTCGAATAAAAATCAATTTTTAATAGGATTAAAACATGAAACATGAATAAATCTCATTCAACAGTAAACAGAAAAGACCAATAAGCAAAAGAGGTAACAAAATGTTCTCTTTGAGTGTTGCATTGTGGGTAATTATTCAAGAACACATTCCAATAAAAATATAATTTGTGGGGCATGTTCAATTTCATTATTGCCATAATTATAATGAATTCCATTTTCTATTAAATTATCAACATGTATGCAGATAATCATGCTTTTATTTTTTTTTTTCTTAAAATCATACATGAAAAGCACAAAACAAGATTTTCCTTTGAATGTGTGAAATATGGGAAGTTGCCTACCCATCTATCGAAAGCCCATGACAAGACCAAATCATATTTGTATATTATTGCAAAGTTTTCACATACTATGACAGTAAATTTAACTCCAAATTGTGTTGTTTTTTATACTTGCAATTCAGTATATTTGATTTGTTTGTGATAATTATTGTAAATGTAATATAGAAAACATGTTTATTTATTTATTGAAGACTGCAAACGATTTTTGTACTGTTTTTTTTATTGACTCACATCGTGAACCCGTGGAATCACACACTGGTCCATATTTCCACATTTTCATCCATTTACAATTTTGGACTGGGTTGTGGAGAATATAAGAATTGTTGCCTTAAACATGTTTCATTCTAAAGAAGCATGGCGACATGAAAGCATTTCTTCAACCAGTGTATGGGGTTCCAGAATCAACACCCCGTCTAGATTATAAATGTATGAAGAAAATGTGGTCCACAACTCTTTAAACTAGGTTTGGTGTTTACTTGTATGACACCAAATGAAATGAAATGACACATGTTAGAGTTCCTGAATCTGTTTTCCATGATTTTTTCAAACCTTTTGAAATCTATCACTAGATCTTTGCATAGCGGTGAACACTTTTTTTCAGTTCAGTTAGATCGAAGTCAATAGCAGAATCAAATACGAAGGGCCACCTCAGCTAACAAAACCACATCATGTAATGAAGGTATCTTCAATCTTTTGGATAATCAAGAACTCATTTCAAAGCATGCTGCTATACATGTACGCTATATATCTGAATAAGCTGTGTATTGACCAGGAAGTATCTAGCTTGTTCAAGCACTATAATATAGAAATACAAAAATCTTGGTCTATTAAGATCATTTTGTCATTGTGTCCATTGTACAACAATATTCTTCCCCCGTTTTTGAAAAACTTCAATCCAATGCCAGATACATGTATCTTAAACACAGACAGTACAGGTAATCAAAATTACATCCCGTGTTACAAAATAGATTCATAACACTTTTGCATCAATAGGATTTTACCATTTTCTAACCCATATTTCTTCTTGCAAATGTAAGATTTTGCAGTGTTTCAACATACTCGTTTCCCAGTTTGATTCTTCATATTTTACTATCAATGGGGACTTCACTTAAAGAAAACATATCGTTTTAATAAAGACCACTGTATTTATACCAAGAAAGTACTCATGGTGAAAGATATGACCGTCTAAAATCACTTGCCATACTGCACATGGACCTTTAATGTTAATGGGAATTATCTATATACGAGGGGTGATCAATAAGTAATGGACGCTTTTTTACACAGATACTTTTTATAGACCAATCCCTTTGATTTTCCTACCAGTGATACATCATTCAATTATCTATCAATTCTGAAGATTTGAAAACAAGATATATAATACATATTGATATATCCTTATTTCCGTGAAGGAGGTACGGGTACCCCGGGACCGACATTTACGTCACATATTCAGATTTTAGCCAGTTTGGTAAATTTCAGTTAGATTTGAACGTTTTATATGCAACAAGTGTTGTGTTGTTTAAAATTTTTTGCTGACTGGTAACACATAAACAGAAAGTATTGTAATGTCAGAGTGTTGTATGGAAGGGGTTTGCAGGTCAGTTTGAGAAAGCATTCAGTGGAAGAAAGGGGTGGTGAGAGAAGGGAACACCCTACTCCATATGGACAATGCACCTGCGGCAGAAAACAATATCCCTGGACCTCAAAATTGAGCCCTTGGCCAATGCATCATATTGTCCAGATCTGCTCACATGTGACTTGTTTATTTCTATACTACTTATTTCTATAGAGAAAGGACGCAGGTTTATTGACATTGATGAAATAAAACAACCCGTGCAACTGCATCTTGCTACCATGTCAGAGAATGGATTCAGCCTTGTCTGACAATCTTGAGTTAAGAGGATGAGGAATTGTGTACATGTAGCACTTGATGGAAACTATTTAGAGGGCCCTGTGGAATGAACGTGGCATGAATACCACATAGTGCTGATAAAATATTCAAAATTATTATATTATTACTATGGCATAACAAAATGGGGTAATTCATGACCATAATGGTTTGTTTTGTTCAGCCTGCATTCAACTGCATTGCATGTTAAACAATCTAAAATAACTTCAGAATATGTGACGTAAATGTCGGTCCCGGGGTACCTGTACCTCCTTCACGGAAATAAGGATATATCAACATGTAATATATATATTGTCTTCAAATCTTCAGAGTTGATAGATAATTGAATGATGTATCACTGGTAAGAAAATCGAAGGGATTGGTCTATAAAAAGCATTCTGTGTAAAAAAGCGTCCATTACTTATTGATCACCCCTCGTATGTGGTTACATCATCACATTATGCAAACATAAGATATTTTACTAATCTAAAACACAATTTATTCATATTACTAAATGACAAATAAGATAATTCATATTTCATCGTTCATCATTTATATACTTTCGCAATTAAAGATTCGGAATCCTCAAATTCATTTTAAAGGTTGTATAACTTGTTCAATTTATCGTACAGATCCCCCCCCCCCAGCAAAATTATACCAAACTTATCTTTATTTTGTGCTGCCCCTTTAGAAGTTTAACGTCCCACAATTTGTTGTGTTCCCATAAGATCAGTCATTTGCTTACTTGTATTTCATCCTTTTTTACCCATATTGTATTTATTTATAGTTATAATGGCATACATTATCTATGATAATTCACCAATTTTATGCTCAGAACAAAACTTTTGACTCGCCCCTCGTAGTGTATATGTTAAATGTACACGGTCGTGCTTTTAAGATTCATACTGAATAAATGACAAATAAAAACTTTATATTTTAATATTTAAAATATGTTATCACAGTACCAATTTGCCAAAGAAAAACGTATATATCATCTCTGATCTTGAATTTAAGATCAATGCACATGATATGTGATTGGTATCTACCTATTCGGACACATTAAATGTTGTACTAGTATTGCATTAAGCCTCCATACACCCCTCCCTATCGACTTTCCGACCCAGTTAATGAGAATGGGCAGGGGTCACAGGGGCTTAATGCAAGACTAACATTTTATTAACACTTCTAGCCTATAAGCTAAGATGATACATGGCTAACAATGTCGCAATATTCAAATGGCTTCTCTCTTCATTTTGTACACATTAGTTAAAATATATCTAGCCCCGTTTGGTGGGGATACTAATTCCAAATTATCTTCAGAAAAATAATGTTAATTCAGTTAATGTATGAAAAAAGAGAGATAAGATATAAAATAAATGAATAAGTTTAAATTAAGGAAGGCAGCGTAGAAGAAAAAGAGAAGAAAGTAGAGAAGGAATTTGGTTGTGGAAAAGTTATGAAATTTTTTCATTGGCTGCCATATGCATGAGAATTTTATCATTTTATAATGTTATTCTTTCTCCATGAAATGTCTATGAATGTTACCAGATTTCTCATAATTTTTTTAAATTTCTGAAAAACTTGAAATTCTTATTACGTAATATGCATGGCTCAGCTTTATATCTCGCAAATTTTACTCTGTCTTTTACAACTGAAATGACAACCGCAATTGGAATTTATTGCAATATTGGTAATTCGAGAACGCCTCCAAAATTCAGATTTTTCCAACCAAATCCCTACAGCTATTAAACAGCATGGAATGAAGAAAAGGATTTGTCTTCAAATATAACGAAAACATATTAGAAATACCTCAGATAATCAAAGATAAGTTCAAAAATAACAGGCCAAAATAAAAAGAAAGGGGTGGGGTAGATTATACAGAATTATCGAAAAATAAATTGTCTAAAACCTTTGGCACTTCACCTCTCTTTGATTTTCGCGACACCATTTTCCACTTCTCCTCTTGCGTTATCGCGACACTATAAAAGTAAGAGTCAAGGTCAAGCTCAAGTTCAAGGTCACAAGTAAATGTCACCAAGCTAAGGTTAAGCTGCATGTCAAGGTCACATGCGTGATGTCATAATGGGCACCTTTTTGACCTCTTACTACGAGTAGCCGCATTGTACAAGCTGTATACTGATCATGTCCAGGGATTGTTCGTTGGTTGTTTCCAGGGATTGAATTTCAGGTTCGTTCAATAACTTTTGATCACTTGTGTTGTTAGAATACCAGATATTCCAAGTAAAGCTGTCTTGCTGAGGTCTCCGAAGCTGAATCTGAAATATCAAAATCTCAAGTTGACAAAATTAATATATGTAGTACCTCGGACAGGTTCAATGATGCAGTCGTGTTTTTACTCTATATATGCAATGGAACAACCATTCTTTTTGAAATTTTCAGGATTTATTCTGAATACAATTTCCAACATGGAAATTAGATATTTTTCCCTGGTGGTAAATTGATAGACTGTTACTATGGTTATCTGATGTCATGTTGATTTCACTACTTTAATTATAGCATACTAATCAAATGGCAATTAGCCAGGATGTGACTTTGTTACTATGGTCACAGAAAGATGGTAACCATGGTGTTTTACTTATTATACTCACCCAAGAATAGTGAATGGTACTTCTTTTTCTCCCAACTTGCATACATTTTTTACACATACCATTTTGGACATCATCTAGAAATCATTACAGAGTTTATATCATTTATCTATTTTTCATTGATTCATTTAGAAAAGCAAAATATATGTCGACTGGCAGACTTGTAGGGGGTGTTTAAAGGTATCGGAATTTACACGTTACATTGTATTAGAATAAAAATAGTAATATTAATTTTATTATTTGTCCATAAGAATAATATATTTTGTCATTTAAAAAATACAAGTATTATTATTAAGATTTACATCAAGTGATTTGTAAATTATGTCATGAATTGCATTGACTAAATAATATAAGAAACTCAGATATATTAAATACCTCATGGGAAAAGTCCTCAGCAAATCTCTGCTTAGCAATAATGGGCACAGAATTTATGCGTTTAGTTTCTCGCCTAGTCTCATAATCAACTGGTATTTGTCTGGTATCACGTCGAAGTTTTTCTCTCCTTGCATCATGCCTAGTGTCACGTTCAATTGATTCTCTTCTTGCATCACGTCGGGTATCCCGTTCAACTGATTCTCTCCTTGCATCACGTCTGGTTTCACGTTCAACTGCTTCTCTCCTTGCATCATATCTGGTGTCTCGTTCAACTGATTCTCTTCTTGCATCGCGTCTTGTGTCACGTTCAATTGATTCTCTCCTTGAATCACGTCTTGTGTCACGTTCAACTGATTCTCTCCTTGCATCACGTCTGGTGTCACGTTCCACTGCTTCTCTCCTTGCATCACGTCTGGTGTCACGTTCAATTGATTCTCTCCTTGTATCACGTCTTGTGTCACGTTCAACTGATTCTCTCCTTGCATCACGTCTGGTGTCACGTTCCACTGCTTCTCTCCTTGCATCACGTCTGGTGTCACGTTCAACTGATTCTCTCCTTGCATCACGTCTGGTGTCTCGTTCAACTGATTCTCTTCTTGCATCACGTCTAGTGTCTCGTACAACTGATTCTCTCCTTGCATCACGTCTGGTGTCTCGTTCAACTGATTCTCTTCTTGCATCACGTCTAGTGTCTCGTACAACTGATTCTCTCCTTGCATCACGTCTGGTGTCATGTTCAACTGATTCTCTCCCTGCGTGACGTCTGGTGTCACGTTCAACTGATTCTCTTCTTGCATCACGTCTGGTGTCTCGTTCGACTGATTCTTTCCTTGCATCACGTCTAGTGTCACGTTCAACTGATTCTCTCCTTGCATCACGTCTGGTGTCACGTTCAACTGATTCTCTTCTTGCATTACGTCTGGTGTCTCGTACAACTGATTCTCTTCTTGCATCATGTCTGGTGTCTCGTTCGACTGATTCTCTTCTTGCATCACGTCTAGTGTCTCGTTCAACTGATTCTCTTCTTGCATCACGTCTGGTGTCTCGTTCGACTGATTCTCTCCTTGCATCACGTCTGGTGTCACGTTCAACTGATTCTCTCCTTGCGTCACGTCTGGTGTCACGTTCAACTGATTCTCTCCTTGCATCACGTCTGGTGTCATGTTCAACTGATTCTCTCCCTGCGTGACGTCTGGTGTCACGTTCAACTGATTCTCTTCTTGCATCACGTCTGGTGTCTCGTTCGACTGATTCTTTCCTTGCATCACGTCTAGTGTCACGTTCAACTGATTCTCTCCTTGCATCACGTCTGGTGTCACGTTCAACTGATTCTCTTCTTGCATTACGTCTGGTGTCACGCTCAACTGATTCCCTCCTTGCATCACGTCTGGTGTCACGTTCAACTGATTCTCTCCTTGCATCACGGCTGGTGTCACGTTCAACTGATTCTCTTCTTGCATCACGTCTGGTGTCTCGTTCAACTGATTCTCTTCTTGCATCACGTCTAGTGTCACGTTGAACTGATTCTCTCCTTGCATCACGTTTGGTGTCACGTTCAACTGATTCTTTCCTTGCATCACTTCTGGTGTCACGTTCATTGGATTCTCTCCTTAAATCACGTCTGGTGTCACGTTCAACCAATTCTCTCCTTGCATCACGTCTTGCGTCACGTTCGACTGATTCTCTCCTTGAATCACGTCTGGTGTCACGTTCAATTGATTCTCTCCTTGCATCACGTCTTGTGTCACGTTCAATTGATTCTCTCCTTGAATCACGTCTGGTGTCACGTTCAATTGATTCTCTCCTTGCATCACGTCTTGTGTCACGTTCAATTGATTCTCTCCTTTCATCACGTCTTGTGTCACGTTCAATTGATTCTCTCCTTGCATCACGTCTGGTGTCACGTTCAACTGATTCTCTCCTTGCATCACGTCTGTTGTCACTTTCAACCGATTCTCTCCTTGCATCAAGTCTGGTGTCACGTTCAACTGATTCTCTCCTTGAATCACGTCTGGTGTCACGTTCAATTGATTCTCTCCTTGCATCACGTCTTGTGTCACGTTCAATTGATTCTCTCCTTGCATCACGTCTGGTGTCACGTTCAGCTGATTCTCTCCTTGCATCACGTCTTGTGTCACGTTCAGTTGATTCTCTCCTTGCATCACGTCTTGTGTCACATTCAATTGATTCTCTCCTTGCATCACGTCTGGTGTCACGTTCAACTGATTCTCGCCTTGCATCACGTCTGTTGTCACTTTCAACCGATTCTCTCCTTGTTTCACGTCTTGTGTCACGTTCAATTGATTCTCTCCTTGTATCACGTCTGGTGTCACGTTCAACTGATTCTCTCCTTGCATCACGTCTGGTGTCACGTTCAACTGATTCTCTCCTTGCATCACGTCTTGTGTCACGTTCAACTGATTCTCTCCTTGCATCACGTCTGGTGTCACGTTCAACTGATTCTCTCCTTGCATCACGTCTGGTGTCACGTTCAACTGATTCTCTCCTTGCATCACGTCTTGTGTCACGTTCAATTGATTCTCTCCTTGTATCACGTCTGGTGTCACGTTCAACTGATTCTCTCCTTGCATCACGTCTTGTGTCACGTTCAACTGATTCTCTCCTTAAATCACGTCTAGTGTCACGTTCAACTGATTCTCTCCTTAAATCACGTCTAGTGTCACGTTCAACTGATTCTCTCCTTAAATCACGCCTTGTGTCACGTTCAACTGACTCTTTCCTTGCATCACGTCTGGTGTCACGTTCAACTGATTCTCTCCTTGCATCACGTCTGGATTCACGTTCAACTGATTCTCTCCTTGCATCGAGTCTACTGTCACGTTCGACTGATTCTCTCCTTGCATCACGTCTGGTGTCACGTTCAACTGATTCTCTCCTTGCATCACGTCTGGTGTCACGTTCAACCGATTCTCTCCTTGCATCACGTCTTGTGCCACGTTCAACCGATTCTCTCCTTGCATCACGTCTGGTGTCACGTTCAACCGATTCTCTCTTTGGCTCTGTTTTTATTTTACGTTCATAGTTCACATCTATGCGTTTAGCATCAACACGTGTCTGTTTCATAGGTTTTATATCTAGTCTTTTGATCACTTGGTTTTCAACAATTCTTTCGGAATTAGCCAAGACGATTGTGACGAACAGGGCCCCCAGGCTTGCAACCACGACACTGTGGAGGATCTGCTTCTGCATTGTGCTATTGTTGCTGTGTGCTTCTAAAACGATATAGAAATATTTGAAATATATAGAATGTTTGAAATATATCAGAACCTTCTGAATTAACTACTAGTATTAAGAAATAATTGCTCAGTAGATATTTCGACAAATTCCTTACGAACACTGGGAAGGGTTCTGACTTCTCAGGGTCAAAATAAAAGTCAAAGTTAGAGTCAAAAATAACATGTAGATGATTTTCAAAACGTCATTTTCAATATTCAAATTATTAAAGTTTGATAGGAGCATTTAAAACTAGATTACATTATATCAAAACTGGCTCAACAGAAGAACATTTGCTGTGTAATAACACATTACGAAATATCACGATGCCAAATAGATTGATTGATTGAATTATTGATTTTTATTCATATTGACAATTTTATTGTAAACTAGAAGGGAAAGCACATTGAAAAAACAAATATTTGGACTGTTTTTACTCATCAGTAATTTACTGGAGTATTAGATACATGTATAGTATCCCAAAAAGCTACATCGTCAAAGAAAAGAATAATGTTCGATAGAGAACTGTAAGCTATTGAACAGTTGAAAGCAATCTTTTAAAGCAGATGTCAATATTTTTCTTGCAATTCTTATTTTATTTTTTGAATATATTATGAAGATTTCAGATTAATTGTAGAAATTATTGAGGGTTTAAGAAACAGAAAATCTATTGGAATTCTAAAAGGAAGAGATATCCCATCTTCCACTTTTTTTTAGTCAGATAACCTTTATATAATCCAAAGATTGTATGAGCTACAGTTTGAGATGGATTGGATTGGATTGGATTGATCAGAGGAAAAATATTGCTTTTTCGAACCTTGCTACTTGCTTTCTAAACTAAGCATTAAATAAAAATGGCATTTGAATAAAAATAACTAACACTAATTGTTTATTAATCCTTGTTACGTATGAGAGTACTTGATACTTCATATTACATATTAAAGGTGCAACAATTAGTGCAGGGGGGCCATTCAACGATCATGGATCAGTGTCAAAGTATATTTCAGTTTGGATATTTTATCAAGTCTAACATATATTTTCATTATCTCCAAATAAACCCCCTGGATGAACATTATTTCAGCTGATATTCCTCTAGAAACGTGGATGATCTTAAAAATCTATAAGTGGGACTCTTTCTTTATGGAAGCTTTGAACTGAATTTACACTTCTTAATGCTGAAATTGATAGTTTATCCATACATTTTAAGAAAATAGGTACATGTATGTCAAAGATGATGTTAAGCCAAATATTGATCTGATAGCTCAGAAAAAGTAAAAAATTTCAAATTTTCTCTCCACAGGCCTTGTTGCCCCTTTAAAATTATTAGAATTTATATCCAAGTATTAAATGCATTTATCTTATCGAATGCCAAATGTGTTTTAAAAATATTTTTGAAACATACATGTACATATAAATTCTAAATTCTATTTAAAGTAAGACTATTTCAGGTAAGTTGTATTGCTTATATTTTTCCTAATTTAGTCATAATTTTATAGACAGATGCATAATTGTCTGTTTTGTATGGAACATCTATATGCTTTGTTTCATTTTGACGTGGTATGATTTAAAAAAGTCAAATAGTATAGTAAAGCATTCTTAATTTTTTTACAATATTAAATGTATTTGAAGTTAGATAGGTACAATACCTGTTCAAAATCCAATGAGTATCCTAAAGGTCTGTCCTTAAGTGATCATCAGAACGAATTCCAGTCGCAGTAAAAAGATTCCTTCATCATTGTCTTATCTATTTATACCGTTCTTAATCCAAATTTATTCCAAAAGGATGATTTTCACGCTTATAAACACTTCCATTCATTCCGATACTCAAAATGAGATATCCACGCCTTGGAACGTAAAGTAGCTAATCTATCATTGATGCCAGTAGAATAGTTGCTCTCATCTGCAAAGTATATCTTTTAGATGCTTTATGAAGTTATAAGTTCCTTTTGAATGTGTTTATAGATTTAGGGACTTGTGTAATGCGTGGAAAAATTGAATTTTGCCTATGACGTAGCCTGTGCGTATTATGGTTTATGGATGTTTATTTCTATGAATATTGACTTTGCCCAATAGACTATCCCCTTGTTTTAATGCCATGATCCGGAAAACAACAAATAGACTTATTTATTCACAAGTCACTAATTTGTTTTGTGAAAATTCAGAAAAAGTCAGAAATTGATTTCATTCGACCATTGTTTGTGATAGCTAGGTCTAAAAGTTCCAATTCCCAATATTATATTTGGCCACTTTTTTGATGTTTATGATACGAAAAACAACAAATAGTATAGACTTATTTGTTCACAAGTTTACTGATTTATTTTGTCAAAATATCTTTAAACTTTATTTCAATGTTCATTTCAAATCAGAAATTGATTTCATTCGAGCATTGATGTTTGTTATCGTTCTATAAGTTTGGCGGTAATATCAATTCCCAATATTTGGCCACTTTTTCGGTGTTGTAATGTGGACATTTATAATAGCTATTATAGCCAGATGGAATATTTGAATAACGTTTTCAATATTCTCTATCAATTTTTCCTTCCCATCCCAAACGGATCCTAACTAAGATCGATGAGAGAACGGAGTGACCAATTAATAGCAAAAAAGATGCAAGTAACATTACTTTAAAACATGCTTTTTGATATGATGTAGACGTAATCTAGATACATGAGTCCTTAAGAATCACAAAACATAAGGATATGACCGCTTATCATAATCTTTGAAAGTGCCGCGTCTAGCGAGTGAGGTATAGCCCCGCTTTTCCACCAAAAAAGATAAAGCGAGGCTGAATGTAAGGTAAACAAATTAGTTATGGGTTTGCCACCCGGGGGTTTGCTAATTCCCCCCCCACACCCTTCGTTCACGAGGCATATCACGTATCCCTGTCAATTCTGGATATACGTAAGGCATTTCACGAGCAATAGTTTCCAGCGAGTTGGGTTTTAATTATCGTCTTCAATGGCTAGCGTATTAACCAAGCGTAAGTCCTATTATATCTCTCTATTATTAGGCTCTAATATCTTGATATCCGTTCACCCTTTGACCTAAATAAATATATGTTTCTATCTTATCGGTCATACCTGTCATTTGAATTAGTTTTCATTCTATTGGATAGAGAAAAACATTTTCAGAGGTTCTTTGAAGAACTTACATTATATCATTCCTTTCCATAGCTTTGACATTTGCTTTATCGAGAAAATAGAGGTATTTTAACATTTTTGTCTTCAAAATATCAAATGGGGATATCCAAGAGTGTAATTATAGGATATCCTATGATTTTGAGGAGTATCATTTTTATCGACGAGGTGACGTGATATTGATATCTGCATGAGAGAGCGAATTGAAGCGAACGAGTGCATACACCTGTATATCAATATCACAGAGATGGCAGCTGAATTTTAAAATGGCCACCATTTTTCGTAAAAATGTAATTCTTTGATAACTCAAATAATAAAAACATTGCAAGGAGAATTGGCTCCCAATGCAACATCGATATTTTTGCCATATATGGACATGTCATGATTTCAAAATTCAAATTCAAACAGCCGCCATTTTGTTCACATCAACATTTGAATCGTGAATTTTGGTCTTATTTCCAAACGAAAAATGTCAATACTCACAAGAAATGATCGAGATATTGGTTCGAATCCTTTGGACTGTTCATTTTGAATTTATCATTTCAGAAAAAAACGAAATTTTCATTGTTGGAAAATATTGAGTTTCGATCCTGGGAGACAATCCTCTTTGAACACATCGGGGGGGGGGGGGGGGGATTTCCCAAAGATCACCTTTCATATTGGCACGTTGGATAACCAATTTTATAAACAGGCCTCATTTGCCATTGAAATGGATGTATGTAATTATAGGATATCCTATGATTTTGAGGAGTATCATTTTTATCGACGAGGTGACGTGATATTGATATCTGCATGAGAGAGCGAATTGAAGCGAACGAGTGCATACACCTGTATATCAATATCACAGAGATGGCAGCTGAATTTTAAAATGGCCACCATTTTTCGTAAAAATGTAATTCTTTGATAACTCAAATAATAAAAACATTGCAAGGAGAATTGGCTCCCAATGCAACATCGATATTTTTGCCATATATGGACATGTCATGATTTCAAAATTCAAATTCAAACAGCCGCCATTTTGTTCACATCAACATTTGAATCGTGAATTTTGGTCTTATTTCCAAACGAAAAATGTCAATACTCACAAGAAATGATCGAGATATTGGTTCGAATCCTTTGGACTGTTCATTTTGAATTTATCATTTCAGAAAATAACGAAATTTTCATTGTTGGAAAATATTGAGTTTCGATCCTGGGAGACAATCCTCTTTGAACACATCGGGGGGGGGGGGATTTCCCAAAGATCACCTTTCATATTGGCACGTTGGATAACCAATTTTATAAACAGGCCTCATTTGCCATTGAAATGGATCTCTCAATGTTCGCTTGTGTTTTATGAGTATTCTCTGAAAGTTTGGATCGAGTAACTTCTATAGTATAACCGTAGTTTTGAAATGATGATGTTGAACTGATGTTAAACTGAAATAAACGCCATTTCAACGATTTCATATTTTACTTTGCACAAGCGCGGCACTGAGAAAGCACGTGCTCATGATTGTTCACGTGATCACACCTTGCTGATTGGAGATCTAAAACGGGGAATCCCCGAATACGATAGACTATGAAAGAATTATGGAAGCTTTTTGAGACTTTGAAGTTTGTTCCATCTAAAGTGCTGGTATAACATTGATTTAGTAAAAAAATTATTCGAAATATTAATTTATTGGTTAAATATTAACTAATTCATTAAAAATAACAATAGAATGATAGCATTGAACCAACTGCAATGAAATTGTTTATCAACGCAAGGCCACTTTCGAGAAGTGAAATCACGGTGTACAACCAAAACGCTATTACAGGCATGCTGGGGCGTTTCTGTACTGATTTCCAACAGAGGAACGCTACGGAGTAAGAAAATTGGCGGTCGGAAATAACTACCCGTCCGACAATTTCAAAGGTATTGGTTGGCAAAAACTAACTAACTTGCTTCATATAAGTCTTATACCATTCGAGTTTGATACAACTTTATATTTGTCATTCTAGGTGCATCAGTAAAGGACATTTCGAGGAAAACGAGCGATTTATTGACAACAGGCAGTATTTTTGTTCAGAATTTCAGCCAAATGAGACAATATGATTCTTCTGGTATTTCAGCCTATTCATTTAAAATAATTTAAAACCGCTGTTTTAATACAATTTATCAACTTTTAATTGAGTTGATTGACATTGTGTAGCTTTGTCGAGAGAAATAAGAGTTCACCACCTAGGGTTGAAAACCATTCCTTAAAGTGTTGGCCATTGAATGCCACATAATATGTTATCATTACTTATAATTCAGAACACTACTTACAGTTGTTATCGCATAGGATAACAATTTTTGGCTTGCAGCCAGAGATGGCCGAAGATTTTTCAACCCTAGGCCTAACCCCTAATCACTTACTAATCACTAAACACTAACCCTAACCTTAAACCCCAAACAAAATTCCGCTCGGCCCATCTCCAGTTGAATGGCATCGGTGTCCTCCTGTCATCGTATCATCTGTGGCCGCCATTTTGAGGTGGGTGGCAAGAGGGGAATGCCCCCTGGTTCAGAGATGATCGAGTTGTCAATTGAAATGTTTATGAAGATGACCATCGTCGTTGATTGGTCAAATGACGAAAATCATGGTGAATTCAAAATTTTCTAAAAAACACTTCGAATAACAATATTATTTTCTGGCGTGTTAATCAATATCCTGCTTTGTTATTTCACCTCAAGATACAAAAGATGTGAGGCATATACTTACATCGATTAAAACATCACATCGACGTATGGTATTCGGAAATTAGACGGTGGAAATTCAGACAAACGAAGGTAGTAAGCGAGAGGTATAATTATGAGGTCATCTCTAAGTAATGGTGCTCCCCTCCTCTTTGCCCGCCCCATTCAAACCATCCGGAATGAATGTATCGGCGTTTCGCTAATGCACCGTGGACATATAAACACAGTTTTCTATTTCGACACCACGATGACTGGATTTAAGATTTATGCTTCTCTCATTATTCTGTTGGTGCATTTACCATCTGGGGATGGAGTAATTTGTAGTAAGTATTATCACCTTAGCGAGACAATGTCGCTCGGCTAGTCTTTTTCATTAACCCTTTCACGACGATGGGCTCCATATGGAGCCCTATTAATAAGATACACAGCCAGCACCATCTATCTAATATAATAGAATGAAGTCTGGTAACTTAGAAAAAAAGTAAATTCAAAATATGTTTTTCGCATGCTTGTGGCTTTGATCAGTGATATTCTACGTTTATTTAACTTTCATATTTTTGTAACAGAGATTTTTTTAACATTTTTTGTATTGGCGATCAATAAATATAAATGAGGTCATGTCCATTTATGAGCAGAGTTTGGAGCAAAAAAGTAAGAAATTTGTGCTTCAAGCTCAATATCTGCAATTTGCAGGCGATTCTGACCACGTTTTAAGTATCAAAATAATTCTTAGAGTATTGAGACTCAACTGAAGTTAAAAAATAAGGTGAAATATACACCAACACAGTGATTATGACCAAACAAAAACGGGAGTCCAAACCGGAAGTCAAAAGAGTAACCGATTGATAGTTGTCACTATGATAAGATATTCATCAAAATTCAGGTCGTGTCTAAGGCCAGGGTGCATGTTGGGAAATTTTTTGCATTCCTCAATGAGTCACATATTATTTTTCAAACAAGAATAACTCCTTCCCAACATTGTCTACCTACATCTAACATCTTCCATGTTTGTAATCTAGTATTTTTTGAACTGATACCCTTCTAAGATATGAGATCTATTAAAAAGGCACATCATCACCAACGTGCAAAAGTCAATGTTTTTGCTATAAATCGGGCAACAATGGTCTATACGACCTGTAATAAATAGGTATAAGGGACGTTATTATCACAATACTAATGACATTGCTCACTTTCTTATGACTCCAAATTTTCCCATTTTCATTCTCCAGAGATGAAATATCCAGTTTCTTACTGGGGTACTGAGTTTTGTTTTTTAAAATACACAAGGTCTTGTGAATTTGCTCCATCGTAAAGACATATAAATCCCCCCCCCCCTCCATCCGATCCCCTCCATCCGATATTAGGTGTCTACTATTTCTATACCGTCGCTATATTCTTTATGTAGTGACTTTCGTATGGAGGTAGCCTTTTCCTCTAATGATTCCTTGTTATCACCTGGTTTGGGGCTATTGTTTGCCTCATTATCGCTGGTTAATACCTGTTTGACTTCGGTTTTGGAGTGGGTTGGAGTATGACCCACGTCCACTTCTTTTTGAGTTCTGTGATGTCATCGTCTGCTTCCTGATTATTAGAAGAGTGAAATGTGGGGGTTTCAATCGTTGATTTTGTTGTTTGGGGGCTTTGACTATTATTCTGGCAGAAAGTTCAATGCTAATCGTTTTCTTCGGATTACAATGTTTTTTTAACTTTTCAGCATGAATACAGGGTTGGGACCTCAAAACCACGGAATGCCGGAGCGGCACCCTTGGGCAACTCTCTACAAACCATTTCTTATACCCCCCTAAGAAAATCTATTGGGGGTACTATAAGACACCTTTATATATCAGACACTAATAAAGATATAGACTTGAAACTTTAAGGAATTAGTTTAAGTATGATGCTTAATCTGTATGGTGAAAATCAAGAAAAAATCTTAATCCGTTGCTATAGCAACAGTAATAGATCACTATTAGTTACCTTAGAAATGTATTATTTTGTGGGTTTCAGCATTTTCTTCATATTCTTGATTCTTAAACTATCTTAAGCTATCTGAAGCACATAGCATAATTAGAGGTGAAGATAAAATAATTCATCATATCATTTATGTAATATGTCTAACAATTCAGTTGCTATGGCAACATCACTTGATAATAAGGTTCTTACATTTCACTATCTTTAATGAGTATAAAGGTGGTCCAAAATAACACTTTTTCTAAAGGTATGTTCTCTAGGTAAAGAAGCTCTTTTTGAAGTAAATAGTCACTTGAATTTGTTAAAAATGTATATCTTTGAATTGTAGAACCCCTCCCCACAGCCCCAAAAATGTGATGATTGGTGAAAACTGGCAAAAAAACTTCATTTTCTAGGTTCAAATTAAAAATGCATTGGGATGCAACACTTATTAGTATTCAAGGAACATCTACTGACTTTGTCTGATATAACAAAATGAAACTTTTAATTATTAGATGATGGGAAGTATTTTATTTGAAACATTTTAGAATCCTATCCCATAAAAAATGTTGAAAAGAGGGTGTGGTCAATTTTACCATTTCGCAGCATTTAAAGTTAGAAATATATACAAACCAATGCATTAAAACATCTTCAAATGTTAAGTTTATAGGACACTATATTTTATATGTTAATCTTGTATTTAGTACAAGTCTGAAATCCAATGCAATCATACAGTGGAGACTAGCAAGGTTTGCATACAATCCAGACATTGGAATCCTTTACAACCCATTCAGCAGAATCATTTATTTACAATTTAGAGCCAGGGTTTTGAAAACTAGCTAAAATGTTTATTATTGTAAACAACTAAAGATGGCTTTCCATTGGTCAACCAAGCAGCAATATGCATTAAATCTGACCAGGTTTGCCATTGCTCACAGCTGCAAGTGTGACGTGTGAACAGTTGCCGCCAACATTTGGTTCTCAACATTCGTGGTCAGATCGTCAACTTGCCACTAACTCCAGAAACCACTTACTCAACATACAATATACCAAAGATGCCACCTCACACAAGCACACTCACTCACCCAAAGATGCCACCTCACATGAGCACACTCACTCACCCAAAGATGCCACCTTACACGAGCACACTCACTCACCCAAAGATGCCACCTTACACGAGCATACTCACTCATCCAAAGATGCCACCTCACACGAGCACACTCAAGCACACTCACACACTCACCCAAAGATGCCACCTTACACTACCACACTCACTCACCCAAAGATGCCACCTGACACTACCACACTCACTCACCCAAAGATGCCATCTCACACGAGCACACTCATTCACCCAAAGATGCCACCTTACACGAGCATACTCACTCATCCGGATGCCACCTCACACGAGCACACTCAAGCACACTCACTCACTCACCCAAATATGCCACCTTACACTACCACACTCACTCACCCAAAGATGCCACCTTACACTACCACACTCACTCACCCAAAGATGCCACCTCACACGAGCACACTCATTCACCCAAAGATGCCACCTTACATGAGCATACTTACTCATCCAAAGATGCCACCTCATACGAGCACACTCACTCACCCAAAGATGCCACCTTACACAAGCACACTCACTCACCCAAAGATGCCACCCCACACGAGCACACTCACTCATCTAAAGATGCTTCGCGTCAAATTGTCTAATATGATTACATGCCACCTTACACGAGCACACTCACTCACCCAAAGATGCCACCTTATACGAGCACACTCACTCACACTAGCTAGCTACTTTCCAACACCTGGCTCTGATGCTTCATGGTTTTATAAGGATTCTATGTATATAGTCACATGATGAGAACTAAGAGCTTTTTGCTTGTTGTGAATGACCCAGCTGAACAGCCTGGCTATAACTGCCTGTAAGGAGTCTTGAAAATTTGAAGACATCATCTTTAGTGATTGACATTAATCTTTTTAGCTAGTTTTCAAACACCTGGCTCTGACGCCTCATAACTTAACAAGGACTCTACTATTTGTTCAGATGATGATAACTACCTGTAAGTGTTTTATATAACAGAAACTTTTGCCATGATTTGCACATTGACGGCCAAAATGACTGACCCAACACATCAGGATACAACTGTGCATGATGACCACCAACACCTGACTAATGAGATAATATGCTTATATGTGTTGATTTGATACCAATGTCCAGATTAAGCCAACCTCTCTATTATATGGTTACACTTCATTAGATGTCATTATGATACATGTACTAAATATTAAACTTACATATAGAATTGTACTTGTGCAAGTCTGATTGCTCGGAAAATTAATGCTTATAATATTTATACATTATGCCAATGTCTAGACTATGCCAACCTCTATTGTAAGATTACATTAGATTTCATTATGATACATGTACTATATCTATATAAAATATACATACAGAATTGTACTCATTCATGATAACCATCAAAGTCTGATTGCTCAGATGAGAAAAACCAAAGGTTGTAATAATTAGGCATTATGCCAATCACTAAACTATGCCAACCTCTCTACTGTATGATAACATTAAATGTCATTATGATACATATACTAGCTATAAAACTTACATATTATATAGAACTATACTCATTCATGATAACCATCATAGTCTCATTGCTCAGATGAGAAAAACTAATGGTTGTAATAATTAGACATTATGCCAATGTCTAGACTATGCCAACCTCTCTACGGTATGATAACATTAGACTTCATTATGATACATGTACTAGATATAAAACTTAAATATAAAAAAGTGCAGTCTCCTATATACTAGATTATGGTAATGAATGAATTACAATGAATATGTTTTAAATGCATTGATCTTTTGTCTAATGAATGCTGCTAAATGATAAAATTGACCACAACCATATTTTAACATTTTATGGGCTAGTGTTCTAAATTATAAATACTTTCGAGTGTCAAATAATTAAAATCTTCATATTGTAATATCAAGCAAAGTCAGTAGATGTTTTTTAGATACTAATTGATGTTGAATCCCAATGCATTACTAATTTGAACCTAGGAATTGAATGTTTTTTGCCTGTTTTCCCAAATTGTCAAACTTTGGGGGCTTTGGTAAGGGAGTAAGATAAAGTTGTAGAATTTTATTTGACTATTTACTTCAGAAGAAACATGGTTTCATCTTTAAGGTACATAATGTTCCAAAAGTGTTATTTTGGACCATATTTATAATCATTAAAGAAAGTTAAATGTAAGAACCTGATTATCTAGTGATGTTGCCATAGCAACTGAAATGTTAGACATATTACACAAATGGTATGAGGAATTATTTTATCTTCACTTTTAATCATATTATGTGCTTCAGATAGTTTAAGAATCAAGAATATGAAGACAATTATGAAACCACACAAAATAATTCATTTTTAAGGTAAGAAATAGTGTTCTATTACTGTTGCTATAGCAACGGATTAAGATTTTTTCTTTATTTTCACCATACAGATTAAGCATCATACCAAGAATACTTCCTGAAAATTTCAAGTCAATATCTTTATTAGTGTCTGATATATAAAGGTGTCTTATAGTACCCCCAATAGATTTTCTTAGGGGGGTATAAGAAATGGTTTGTAGAGAGTTGCCCAAGGGTGCCGCTCCGGCATTCCGTGGTTTTGAGGTCCAAACCCTATATTCATGCTGAAAAGTTTAAAAAACATTGTAATCCGAAGAAAACGATTGATCCTCAAAATACCCCATATTTCTTCCGGACTATATGGCCGATATCTATAAACTGTTTTCTTGTTTGAGAAGCTGTCATCGTCTTCCTGGTTATTGGACGTACAGGATGTGGAGGTTTCACTTGTGGATTCAATAACGCAGATGAGAGTAGATAGTTACCAGTTTCACCACCAGGTGGCTCGTTCGGGTCAGATAGCATGGCGGGTATAGAAGAAAGTTCACTTTAACTTGAATTACATCTGTTTTAGTAGTTCAATTTTCATATAACCCTTATGTATCTAATAGTTATGCCAATTTAAATATGTCCAGTAAAAGAAAATGTTATCTGTCCAATACAAGAAAAGATATTTCACTTTTTGTGATTTTGTAACATGAGGTCTATGGGGAATCAACCCGAAGAAGAAGTCACATTTTCAAACAAAATTAAATTTTCAAAGTTGATAAACAACTTTCGAAACCATATTTTTAGATGTACTTTTACATGTAGATTTCAAATATTACATCACTTTGACTGAATTTTGAATATTTAAAGTGCCCGATAAACTATAAAATGCGCATGCGTCCTGGTGTTGATAAACTATAAATAGCGAAAATCCAGGGTTTGTCACCACAAGGTAAGCCAGGACGTGTTGAGAGAACAGCTAGTGTTGATATTGAATTTATATGTAGCCAGATAAGTTTCCTTATTGAAATTACATATGGTTATTAGCAATACTTTGTAGGTGCTAAATAATAAAATATTTAAAGAATATATGAGAGAAATTGGTCATTTCGAACCTGTTGAAAAGTTTGTGGCTCTCGGCTACACCGGGGAATTTACTTCCATGAGTACACACATAAATGTGGGGTTCCCCAAGAGGTACGCGACAAGGTGACCTGGCATCAAATGTGCGACTAAATGCTACTATCGAGAAGATAAAATAACGAATACGACAATAAGTTATTGCATGTGACAATTCCGAGCCTTCATCTCACTGAAGTATTTTGAAGTGAAAATAGGATTTTTGTTTTGATACATGGATTCAGATGAACGTAACTTTATTCTGACAACTAATCAAAACTGAACAAAATTGATTGTACGTAACAGACAATTTATTGTTTTACAATGTTTTGATTGGCTAAACGAATGAAACCAACAAATTATGACATGTAAAATGACAATTTTGAAATGTAAAATTTAAAAGTGACAAACACAACCTCCCTATCCACTCTTTGGGAGCCCTAGTAAATCAGTAATATGTACATGTAGCAGTGGTAGTGTACAGCTTATTATCACACTACGCTTTGTATTGATCTTTTTTAAATATACATAATGAATGGTTGTTTGCTGAATCTTCGCCCGTTCTAAATTGTGTAGTCAACAAAAAATCTTTTTCACTTGGGTCGATTATGTGGGCCGATTCACTCAGAAGAAATCCGAACAGTGCTCGTAAAACGTTTACCATAATTAGAAAGTTAAAACCATTTCTAAGAGAATGCTGTTTTTATTTCACATGAAATCGTAATTAGTTTTCATCAAATTATTTTTTTTAAACCCTTGTCATAGTTTTTTGCTTCAAAGCAGTTAATTTGCGTCACCGTACACAAAACTGTACTCCGCTATTTTTGACGCTGTACGGTGACGCCTGCTAACGCGATGGTTAGGCGTGTTAGAGGTCATTCCGATCCCTCATTATATATTTCTTTCTATTTACAACTTTCTGTTACAGTGCCTCTTTTGTACATGGCATTTCTATTTTAGCTTCAACATGCACAGTTGCTTGTTGTACGGCTGCATTTGCTGGCGGGCTGGCTGTACTAGGCTTTGGACCAGCTGGACCCGTGGCAGGTAACTATATATCTAGTAGTCATATTAACTGCTTGAATTAATAGATATTAGAAATCGTCCTAAAATGTAAAAAGCGACACATTATGGTAAAAAACAATCGTCCATGAAATTCAAAACTATCGTCTCGGCAGTTTCTTGTGCCAACGTAACAAGGAAATAATCTTGGTAAGATAATGGTGAAACATAGAAAATATTTTTTAATGAAACTTATGGAGAAAGCCAAGCTATATAGAGGCTTGACCTGTCAAATTAATGCCTTCGACCTAGCTTTGACCATATTTGAATTATCTTTGAGTTTTTAGAAAGCTTTCAGGAATACCACGGTGTTATAGCATGACGGTTACGTCAATGCGATTTGCAAAATTTTGCGGTAACGATAACAAAAAATGGCGGATGGGAAAGGCAGCGTGTCCTCTTTCTCGCCTGTAGGCAATTTTCACAGATAAGATTTCCTTTTAAACTAGTTCCATTCGGTGACGTATATATGGATGGTTATAAAGACTGGGTCAAATCTTCCAGGTGGTCTACAAGAAAGAGAATATAAGCAATAAACCTACCGACTGAGATATCCAAGTTTATTATTTTTGGTCCATTCTCGTGTTTTCTCAGTACATGTGCCTCAGAGCCACTCAAAATAATAACTGTAAGTAAACTGTCTATAAAAAAGGCATAAAATGACAAATCCAGAACAGGAACGTGGTGTTTATCGTAAATAAAAAGGTTTCAAACGCAATGTCGTTAGACGACTACTATACGTATGATTTCTATCGAATTCTATAGACCGTTACGTATTGTATAGCGGACGGTTACGTGCATGTACATCTGTCAAGTCAAGGTTGGTAGATCTGATAGCTTCTATCTATGTTATTGTTATAATGGGTTAGAAATGAAATATTGAATTTCCTATATTTGTTTTCAGGACTCGCAAGAGACGCCCTTGTTTCAGCCTCTATTTGGCAAGGAAAAAACTGTCGCTTGCTTTATTTATGAAACCGATGAAAGTGTAAAAGATAGCAACGAAGAGGCGAAAGAAGATTTAGGATCAAGTAATGATGAAGATGACAAAATTAACAACAATGAATCTGGGTTTCATATTTGAATCAGGTTCGCGTAACCGCCCATCAATTTTTTACGTTACTGCAAATTCAAAATACATTATTATGGCTTGAGTGGAACCTATTAGGTGATTTCCAATGCTCAATTGACGTATATATGATCGTATGTAGGTTATATCTGTATACCACAAGGTTTTTAGGCAATGTAGACCATGCCCTAACAACAAAAATAAACAAATTACTAAATTTTTGTGTAGTTTTGAATTTCAAACTCGACAGTTTTTCTCTTATTTCATGTTATCCCCGGGTATCAATTTGCAATGACTACGTTCAAAATATACATTACTGAATGCATCACCGAATGCATCGCTTACATAAATCGTTCATCCTTTCATTGATACACAATAGTAGAAAATAATGCACCAACCTTAGTTTTCTCTTCCATCGCGGCCATTTTATTGGATAAATCAGTGAACGTAGCCGACCAACCTCGTTTTCAGAGGTGGCGTAACCGTCATGCTATAACGCCGTAAATACTGTATCATTGAGATGAACATTCAAAAGACAGTTTTTGGGGTTTAACCCTATCTGTGCTTCTCTGTCTTGAATGGCCTTCATTCACCCTTTTATCATTATTGTACAGGTTCATTTGCTGCGGCGTGGATGTCTTCATTGGGTATCGTTGCAGGTGGTTCGCTTTACTCAATCTTGCAGTCGATCGCTATGGGAGGAACTGGAGTTGTCGCCGGTTGTGGGCAAATATGTGCCTTGATGTGTGTTGGATCCTAAATACAAGACTTGGAAGCTGAATTGACAATTAAAGAATATTCAATCGAGCAAAACGTGTAATTAAATAGGGACGTTATCAGAGGTTATAGACTAGCTTTAGCACTGTTCATGCCCCTCGATGGTTTCAGCGAATTTCTAAAATGAATTTTGATATAACTAAAACGGTGATTAACATACATGAACATGTTTGCTTCATTTGCTTAAAAGAATTAAATCCGGATTTCTGGTTTGTCGATTTCTGGTTTGCACGCATGTGTGTTTGGCACAAGACAACGTCTGAATGTCGTTTGATTAAGATTGAAAATCAATGAGGCGGGTAAAGATTAAATTATTTAGCCGGCTTCTGCCTCTCTCTTTCATATCACCTTCACTTGTTTATATGAATGTGTGAGTTGATCTAATGAAGGGAGGGGGTCCAGTGGCTTAAATGTTTAAGACATACATACAATGTATTCAATATTTATGCACTACCATTAACTATAGGGTGGTACGAAATGATAGATTCCGTCCGCAATTTATTACTACCAGCACAGCTATAATACAATCAATTTTGCAGGAAGATGTTGTTACGGATTCTGAAAATTCTTGAAAACATTAAATACAGCTTTTAATCAAAAAATTCTGAATCTAGCAGATTATATGACCACAATTTATGACTGCAGGTATGGCTATTTATATAAAATCCTTAGTAGTATTTTATTGTGAATGGCCCCATGTTTAATCATCCAAATATCATTTGTCATATTTCGAAAAAGTTGACTTTTTATGAAAACATTAAATTAAGATAAAAAGTGTCAATTGCATCACATTTGATAATAACAATGGGTAATAATACTTTCAAAAATGGCCCTATGAGAATACAAATGTCCCAACTCACATTTTTGTGAAATGGAGAAAACAATTTTTGAAAGTTTGGGCATCTGTAACTTCAATACTATCTATCTGTCATTTGTTTGGTTAAAGTGATACATAGAACAAAGTTAAATTGTATATTTGAATTTTTTTATGGAGTAAGGACAATTTGACACTGAAAAGCAGGCTATAGAGGAGATAAAGGTAAAGGAATATCTCAGTAAGAAAGAGGATGATTTAAATAGTGAAAATCTCATTTTTTCAAAAATGGCACTTGTGACATTATTATTCTCATACAAAGAAATATAAGTTCATGTGGTTTAAACTTTACACAAGGCCTTAAATGTCAACCTAATTTCAACCATAACATGTATACTAGACATTAACATACCAATCGTCAAAGCCACATTAAATTCCAGTATGTTATAATACATGGGTTTAATAATATTTTTTTAATGTTTGATCCAAAATCATATTTATACCCAAAGAAACTTGAGAATGCAATCCAGCTATGCATAATGAATTGTACACGTTTACTAGAATAAAATATGTCACCTGCATCTCACTTATACATGTGGCATGTCATGAGAAATGAACATAATTTACATAATGTACCTATAACTGATGCTGCCTGATGACCATCCTGCCAATGATGTCGTGATGTCCTGTCGTGATGTAATCCCCTATGATCATAGGGTATGGGGAGGTTTCCAGAAGATGGGCAATGAAAAGTTAGAAGAAACTTAGCCAACATTTCATCGATAATGCTATACAGCATGGGAACCAAAACTAAAACTATCATCAAAAAGGGTGGCGAACCAATTGAACATCTCTTTTAAGAGCAAATACAATCCTAAGTTAAAGTACTCATTACATTTGCCTACTTTATTAATCAGGACCACTGGCCCTATATAATTGCAAAATTGTGTGTATGCAGGTTGGGTAATAAAAAAGTTATAGCATTTTTTATAAATGGCATTTTTGGCTCACCCTGTAGTTCTGTTGTTGATGAAATCATCCCAAAATAAGTACAAACCGTCATACATGTAATTGCATGAAGTGCATATAATGTCATTCCAATTTGTTTGTTGTTTTTCAGTCAACAGCTCAGATGACTGGCACAGATTCCTGGATTCAGTTACCATTGTGGAAATAAACTTGATTTACAGATGACACAAGAACAAAGACATTTATTTGGACACCAAGGCATAATGCCTTTGAAAGGAGATTGAAGGAATATCATTTAATTGACAATGTACCTGGTACTGTACAGGGTGTCCCGAAAGTATGGGGCCCCCCCTAGGCAGACATATACCAGTGCCGTCATAGTATGTGTTATACATCATTTTAAAGCTCATCCAAAGTTACATTGATTCACCAAGTATCATGGTTCAACTCTCAAATGTGAAAAAATTACAGACATTTCAAAATTTAGTGTTTGGTCAAAATTAAGTTCAATGTTACACCAAATCACTAGTCAATGTGTCCTTATGGGCCATCTTAACAGCAGCAATTTTTTTCGGATCGGATGGATATTGAGTTGGAAAAGGAGAACGGTGAGGGTAGAAATTCTAAGGAAACTCTTCTAAAGTGCCTTAACAGGTTTTAAGAGGGTTATAAAATTCCACACCCCTATTTGAAGGGCTATTAAGGTCATATCTGAAAATAATTGCTGCTGTTAACATGGCCAAGGGGGGACTCATTGACTAGAAATGTGGTGTAAAATTGAACTTTATTTTGACAAAACACTAACTTTTAAAATGACTGTAACTTTTTCCCATTTGGGAGCTAAACCATGATACTTGGCAAATCAATGTAACTTTGGATAAACTTTAAAATGATACATGACACATACTATGACGACACTGGAATATGTCTGCCTAGGGGGGGCCCCATACTTTCGGGACACCCTGTACATAACCTAATGAGCCAGAAGTTTAAAAGTGAATCTGGAAATAAATGATTATTGCTGCAGTTTAGTGTACTTATAATCAGTCTGGAGAAAAATATTGTGCTGAGCCAGTAAATGTACTGTTCAATGTAAAACACAAATATCTGGCACGAAGAAGGTATTCTGGATGTGTAGTGGATATGACAACATTATTTGTGCTAACCTATTTTCATAAACATAAATGGCAACACAATATGTTGATGCTCAACGTAGCATCTTTACAAATCAACAATTAAACTGGTGCATTGTTCTTTGTATTGAAAGATGCTTCCCAAGATATCATTCAGAGATGAACTCCAGTAATCAAGATACAGAAAGGTGAACATGTTTCATTTACAGGGTGGACCATTAATTATATAATTTTACTACTGTACACATCCTTATTATTGTTTTATATCTTTTGAAAATATAATACAAATACAATCTCATAAAAGAGTAAGCATTAATTGCTGATTCAGTCACTCTTGATTTAGCATAGACTAGGCTAAATAATACAGAATAGGTAATTGAGATTTTTTGAATATCTGTATTTTTGTTTTTTTTACCTGATGTTTTGTACCTGAGATTTAATATGGTTACCATGGTAACAGATATGTTAAGTTGACTAAAGTTTCTTATGAACTTTCAAGATAATGTCATCATGATGATGACCCATATCAAATCTCACAACAACTCATTATCAACTGAATGAAATATCGGTATTTCAACAATACAGTTTCAAAAAAATCTTTACAAAATGTTATATTTAAATGATAATGTATCAAATAGACTTCTGTATTTGAAATCTTATTATGACATTAAGTCATTATATATAAACATCTGGATACAACCCTATCCTTTATTTAATTTAGTTTTATTCTGAATAAGAAATAATTCTGACATGCACCAACTGTAAAAATGACATGTAATGTGCTGATATTACTAATACAAAACCATTGTCTTTGAATACAGATATTTGAATATTTTCTTGTTATTAAATATACCACGGTGAATATGGTTACTATGGCAACCCACAACACCATCACTTGGTGTTATACATGTATCTTCAAGCCTTTGTTATTTTCATGACCCATGATAAGTTTCATTGCATTTGGTTCAGGATTAAGTCTTATATCCAGGTTTTCATAATGGAAGTGCAAAATATGTCAAAAACCTGTCCGATTTAAAGACAATGCGGCACTGAGACGTCTGTTTTGAAACCTATTAAGGCATCAATCAATCATATCCTAATATCAGCACATCACGTTTGGATACACTATCTAGACTTGATAAATGTGTTTTTTGAGTAAGAGACGATTCCTGTGTTCCAAAACCGAAATTAAGATGGAGTGCGCTGGTACCAGTAATAAGAAATATTGTCTTCAAATTGGAAAGTTTCACGATTTTCATGTTTTATAAAATTTCAAGATTAATATGGTTACCATGGTAACCAGCACAGCCATTGACGTAATGTTGTACATGCATTTTCAAGCCAGTGTTATTATGATACACCATGTCAAGTTTCATTGCATTTGGTTCTAAACTAAGTCTAAAATTCAGGTTTGAATGATGGAAGTGCAAAATATGTCAAAAAGCTGTCTGATTCAAAATTAATGTGGCACTGAGATATCTGTTTTGAAATTTATTGCGGCACTAAGAGAGTTAATGGTTGGTTTGATTAAAATGAATAATCCAGAATTAATCAAACACTGATACCTAAAAGTAACTTTCAAGTGCCATTTCAGTGACACTGTATAATAATATCACTTTGTAATCGTAAAAAATGAAAAGGAGATATAAATAAAATATAGAGGACAAAATAATTTATCAATTATACAAGTGGGATGAGATGTCTTGGGATGAGTTGTCTTAGGGATGACTTGTCTTGAGATGAATTGTCTAGAAACCATTATGACCTAGCTTTATATAATAAAGTTACGTGATTGTTTGGGACAGGTAGGTGAAGAATAACCATTGGCAAGATGACTTAATCACTGAAGTAACCCCGGACGTAATCTGACTCAAATATAAGACGTGAGAGTTAACGAAGATCGTCTAGCTAACTGGTACTCGCATTTTAATAAAAGACGTTATGTACAATATATCTTTTCTTTGCATTCGTTCGACTTCACTTCTTAGTGACATTTGTGCGTTGGTGACGCTGCGCCTTTTTAATAGATCTTATGTATTATCAGTTCCAAAAAATCCTAAAAGACCTAACATATTTCCCTGTGTCATGTGCCTATTCAATTAGCGATTCGATTGTAAACTTTCTCTTAAAAAATAAATCTTCCAGATTTGTTGAATTTTCTAGTGAAAATCAGCTACCCCCACGTTCATTTCTTCCGATCACCGGGCGTGATAGTTGATACATAAAAATTGGATATAAAACCTCTCAATATCTATGCCTATGCCATCTATTTGTTGAAAATTATGGACGCTTATAGTTGATACATGGTGTGATTATAGATGGTGTGTTAAGAAAAAAACCCAGAAAAGTAACAAGAAAAAAACCACTAAAAACGTAACCGATTAAAAGGAAACAAACCCCTACATCCCAATAAATGATCAAACACAAGAAGTG